TAAGTACGTGTGTATCTTGGCCAACTAATTCACATGCTGAACTGTATTTTTACACTTACTGTTTGCTCTGTCAATAGACTAACATATATCAGAACAGTTAAGAACTGTGTCAAATCAATTTATCTGCCAAAGAAAAGAATTTAAGCATAGTTTTGTGCCAAAACTGTTTCTTACACTCTGAATTGGCTGTGCTTCTCTGTGCCATTTTTATCAGTAGGGATATGCTGAACAGTGCCATCAATGGCCAGTACTAATTACACTGCTTTGTATATAGCCAGGACCTCAGTAGGGGCAGATGGTAGAGCTGCAATCGAGGAAGACATAACAGGTAATAGCATGTATCAGCACATCTGCTATCGCCTGCTACAAAACCTGTAGGTATTCTTAAGGTTTTACTGAAGCTGCCTGAAGCAGTTGCCAAAATGGAAAATAGACTTTGCTACTAGTATGTACAGGTCTTGTGACAGAAACGCATGAAGTAGGCATCCAGATAAAAAACACGAAATAAATTGGGGAAATGCCACATTCACGGAATAGGTTGCCTATTGCTTCTACAGCGTGAGAATCTCACTAGACAGGAGACTAGAGTAAAGAAAAACTATTGCTACCTAGAGTAGCAAGAATGTATTTTTCTTTACTCCATTTGCCATTCTTGCTACATGACAACAGACCCATGAGATTTCACATGATTCTTAGAGAAGTCCAGGTAGGAGTTCATAGACAGAGCACTATCAGGCGTTCCAGATTCTTAAATGCACTGTGTTGCTCATACTCATGAATCAGACCAGTACACCTTATACTATAGGAGGGAAATCCTTAAAGAAGTTTTATAAAAGAAGTAAATGATTTCTGGGTGGAAGCCTCTCTGCTTTAATAGGAAAACCTTGTTTTACAAGAGACAAAACAGCTCCTGGCTTTGCTGAACTGCTTCTTAGGTTTAAACCCTTGAATTGTCTCAGTTTTTCACACAATACCCAAGCTCATCCATGATTTCTGAAGAAGAATCTCAAAACCAATAGCACAAATGCCCCAGAAGACTATCAAATTCTACACTAGAATTTGATTTGTTGTTTTACTCTCTAGTAAAGCTCAGTCATTACTTACTCCCTCCAGACAGTTTAAATTTTCAAGCTCAAAGCTTGCCTCCTATCCTGTTAACTTTTAAATAATTAACTGTAAAGACAAAATTATGCATATTTTAACTGAGGTTAGCTGTTTGAGAATTGAACTGCATTCTGAACTGAAAACAAAGTTACCTTGTTTTGCTGTTATGAGGGGGAATAGGAATACCCACTCCCGACACCTATTTTGAAATATAGATACCTCCTGTAAACTTGTGGGAGATTTAAAACAAGTTGTGCTACCTGACAATACCTTAGATTAATATTAATTAATATCTGTAACCTCCTCCAGGTATGTAGAACCTGCCCAGTATGAGTATAGACTCCATTAACCACAGTTAGCATATCCTGCACCGCACGGGGTGGGCAGTGGGATCAGCAAGGGAAGCCTCATGGGAACTTGCCTTATGGAAAGTCCCCTTTACTTACATGTCTAAATTACAGGAAGGTACTGCACAGGCAAAGTTTATTCCTCTCCTTATCCACACTTGCTGACATTACATCCTGTGTACCATAAACCTTACAGATTTATTGATTTTGATCCAATATTCTACTTTTATACTTTGACCAAGATAGTGCTAGAATATAAGTATACACAAAGTATACTCATAAAAATAGGTAAATGTGACAGAATAGTGACAGCAAAGACTTGACAGAAATCAATCAAGTACTCAGATGGAAGCGAGGTGAATTATGTAGGTTACAAATATCAATGTTTTATATTCAAGAAGTTAGATTTTTACTATTCCTACAACAGTGCATATATTTTTCCATTCGTACAGCCAGGTGTCTTAAATTCTCATACATCCAGGAGCAGGATTATTTCTATTTCAATTTAAGATACTTGTAAAAACAATCAACTAATCTGTAACATTTGGTCTGACTGCCTTCTTCTACAATAGGCTAAATCAGCAAGATAAGGAGAAAAGGTAAGAGAAAAATATATAGAACTAAATACAATTTGTGAGATAAATAAGCTATTGCATCATCATATGGGGAAAATACTTGTGCACACCCTCTCAGGTTTTACTGTCCCCCTTTGAGGTGTCAGTTCATCACTGATGATGATTAAAATGACCAAATATTTGAGAAAGCATTGTGCCTGCATCTACCCTTCTTTCGGAAAGTACTTCAAAGATCTATGGATAAAAGGTGCAATATAATCATCAGGTCTGGGTATTGGTGTAGATGACTTTACTGATTCTACAGCCTGCTTGCTGCCACCTGATGAAGGCTGGTTTCTGTCACCTAGCAGCGATGCCACAGGGTCCCAGAGAAGCTGCAGGCAGCGTTAAGCACATGGAGCTCCCACCCCTAAGCCTCTCAGCTGGCTACTGAGGTAACTCTTCAGTGGGTGCACTGTCTGCACACTGATCCGCTCCACCAGCGTGAGCCTGCCTCACTTTGAAGCCTTCTATTGTTAAAGCTCTCTGCTGCCTGACACACTGGAGCTTATACCTGAAACACCAGTCTAGAGGAAAGCAGGGAATATCTTGCCTTTTTTGTTTTCTTTCCTTTTTTTGTTTTTGAGAAACCAAAGCCAAAATCTTCTGCACTGCTATCTAAGAGAGACCAGGTAAGAAATTTTTACCTTTAGAGACTGAATTTAAGTCACACAGCAAATTTGAGTTGTTCTATGATTCTCTTTTTCACTGTGTAAGAATTGCCAAAAATAGAAGATGAAAGAGGGGAACAAAAACTACAACACTTTAAAAAAAAAGACTTGACTGACTGAAAAAGCATATAATTAATGTTTCTATAAAACATTATATATATTTTCAGTGAAATTTTACAAGACTATATATACAACTGCTGCAACATTTGCAATATTAAATATACTAAAATAACTGACTTCAAATAGTTTAAAAGCTCGGTCATTACAATTTAATGGATCATATCTAGTAAGATTACAAAGGTGTCTACATATATGGATTGTGTTATCTTCCTTAAATATCTATTCATGTAAAGGTTATTTAAAAAGCAGTTCAGCATGGTTGTCTACAAATTGAAACAGAAATTTCTTAGAGCTTCTGTATTTCCTGAACACAAAAAATAAGATAGTACAGCCACTGCATCTTGTTAAACCTTATTCTGTTCTGATGCTGTGGAACAACTGATTCTCAAGTTCCAGTCTTTGATGCAGGTACATCAAGTGACTTCTTAAATTTAGATTTTTAAACTAAATAATGTAGGCAAATGACAGGTTGTAGTCCCAGTTCTTATAGCTCTGCACTCAAACTCCTCAGTTGTATTCATCTATTCTTATCAGCTGCCCTGTATTGCTGAATCTCAGTAATGGACATTATTCCAGCAGCAGACTCATCAGGACTCAACACAATAACTGATATGGCCTCCTTACAGCTATTAAATGATGTCTGTTTTATTTAATCTGAATAAATCATAAAAACCTTAGTTAAATATGCTTTTGGAACTACTCATAAGAACCTGACATAAACTGCAAGCATTTCTCTATTCTGCTATAAGTTGCTCTTATTCTTTACTGGGAGCTTTTGCTTATTGGCATGATTTTTATTCCACATGCATGCTCTTTAAAAAAATGCTGAATTAATTTCTATTGTGAATAAATGCTGCAATATTTGTATTTTAAATTACATATAAGCACAAATTAACTTTAAATACTTTGTTTCTTATGTGTTATTGATTCTAGCTACTATATACAGCGTATAGCTGTATCTTCTATATGAAGATAAATATATAGGGGAGCATTTACAGATCATCGTAGAGACTATAGATATTTTCTCGCTGTAGTTACCTGCACGGATCATTGGGGAGTTTGCTTAGAAATTTCTAGAACTGAGAGAGAAACTAGGATGCTACTTTTCAAGAAATCTAGAGTCATAAGAAGAACCTTCTAGCTATGGAGGCCTTGTGAATCTATGATTGCTAGCCCAACCCAGAACTTCAAAATATGATCAGCACAGCAGCTGTGGATCTGAAGACGGAATGCCCTTTTCATGTCATTGTTTAGAAAAAAGCTCGGCGTAATGGTTAGAGAAGGTATAATGTTAACCATGAAAATAATAGATTGCTCTGCTATAATCATCACAGAATCCTTACAAATTTTTCAGTGTCCATCAAAAAATTTCTCCTGAATTTCCAACTTCATCTTTCGTTTTCTCTGCTTCCTGAGTTCTCTGCAAATGAACGTAGTAATCAGACTGTGCCTTAATACAGCTTACTTCAAAATTAATTTTAAAATTAGCTCAAATGTTTGCACTGTAACTCCTAAGAGCTTCCATACCAACAGTAAAGAAAAACAGGTCAGCTCTCTGTAGATGAAGACAAAACACCAACACAGCAAAACATGCTTATAGGAAGTTACTTTATAACAACACCCATAAGCATAGGAAGGACAGCTTGTGAAAAAAACAGAAACAATAACAAAAAACACCCCCACCACACACACACCTGCATAGATTACATATGGAAAATAAAAACTACTTTTTTCCATATGCATTTTTTTTTCCCATATCCATATTTAAAATAGCTCTGACATTATATAGCTAGTACAGGTACACTGGACATGTAATAAAAGACCAATCAATAAGAAAATTTAGCCATGTAACACCAGGGCTAGATATCCTTTAATACAGACTAGTCACAGCAAACATTTTATGAACTGTAAGATTCCTATACACACTGTTATGCTAAATAATTTTCTCCTAACCATAAACTTAAATTGGAACACAACAGTGCTGTGGATGACCATGCACAATCCCTTAGATTATTGCTTTTTTTTTTTTGTCAAATAGATTTACCTTGTTAAAACCAACTCCTGTATGCAAACCTCTATTCATCCAGTCTTCAAATAAATGATATTTTAAAAATCCAGGCCTCACAGGAAATACGCAGCACATCTCAAGTTTGTTGTAATTTATTTGAGTTATTCTCAAGCAATGTTACAAAACATTTTAATGTCTTGATAAGAAAATAAAATTTAAATAAAAATACATTCAACAATACATCATAATACAAATTAAAACTAATGATAATTTACAATCCAAACAGAACTAATTATTGAATGTCTTCTAGACTAATCAAAATGAAGGCAAATTTTACCATTAATCATCCTACTCGTACCTAATTAAATCCTAGAACACCTACTTTATTTTGAAACATTATAAAATGAGAAATTAAACCCTAATAGTCACAAATATTCAATGGCCTTTGTTTTTTCCTCTAGATATTCCAGTATCAAAGCAAAAAGTGCATTTAAAAAAAAAAATCTCAGAATACAATTTAGTTTTCCATAAACTGGACTTTGAAAACAACAGAAAATAGCTCTGAGGAACAGACACTTTGCCACAACGTCAATCAATATACAGCATAAACTAACTTTGACAGTTGACAGCATTCTGTTTTATTTTATGGCAGCTTTTTAATGGCAATTTAAACAAATCCAATTTACCTTGGCAAAACACATTTCTTGGCATATGATTTCAAGCCCCCTTTTAACTGTTGGCAAACAAAAGTCCCTTAGAATACATTAAATGTGTAAAAGAAGGAAAGGCAAAAACAATTGAGATTGCTAAATGATTGTGATATTGCAGACAATAGTACTGAATCCCAGACATTCTAAAATAGTTTCTCTGGTTTTAAAATCAATAGTTCTAATCAATAGTTCTTCTAACAATACTTACATTCATTCGTTCAGAAATTTCAATCCTGTCTTGCCAAGTTGCTTCTATCACAGAAAGCCTCCCTACGACAGTATTACAATTGTATAGTAATTTAAACAGCTTACAGTTTTCAAGCATTATGGATTTCTATTCTATTTGTAAGTTACATTCCTAATTAATTTGGCCAAATCACGATTGTAAAAAACACACTAACAAAACAACAACAAAAGACCCCACAGCAAAGGCTCTGAAAATAAAAGTACCACACATAGTTATTATTAAAAATAATATTCCAAGGAGTACCATTGTATTTAATACTGATGAAGCAAAGTTGCCACATTTGCTTCTTCCTGGCTATATACACAGAAGTTCTTTCAGCACAAACCTAACTTCCCAGATGAAGTGAGCAAAAATTAATTTTACTGAAGTCAAGAATGACAGTTTATAAACTGTGTTAAGTGGCAAATAAGAATCCATATAACTAAAGATATAAAAATATTCACTGAAGCATTGTTTAAAGACAAAACAATGTTGATCATTCAACTGATCATAAAAAGCAGATACTACAAAGTATCTAAAAATAATCTGGGATAGTCCAGATATCTAAAGTGCTTTGAGTGATTATAATAGAGATTATTTATTAGATTTGTAGTCAAATGGTGAGTTGGACCTAGCTAGTTTTATCAAAAAATAAAATAAAATCATATATGGAATGATGTAAATTGATCAGTACTCAACCACAATCTGTTCACATTTGAGTTCTTCTATCTGTAAGCAAATATTATTTCAAAAAGAACACTGCTACCCTGCATATATTTTTTTTCAGATTAAGAAAAAAACCACACCTTACAAAAACGTACCCTAAAGAAAATAGTGGTCTCACGTCACTCCATGTATTACTCACCCTAAATGTAAACAAGAGGCACAACATAAGTTCCCTGATTTCTTCTTATTTAGTACTTAAAAAAAAAAAAAAAAAAAGAAAGAAAAAAAAAGAAAACAACTAACACTGGTAACTGCTGTCCAGATCATTTGCAACATACTGCATGATGTTCTAACTTCAACTGTAGTTAGAATCAAGTCCTGACAAAATTTAATATAAGAAAAAAAGTCAGACGAATTGAATGTGAAGCTTCAGGTCTTTACCATGTCACTGTAGCTTGGGATTTCTATTTCAAGATCGTTATCAGCAGGGCAGGCACTCATGGTAAACTCATACAATTTTGTAATACATGTATTCAGAGATGCAATACAACCAACAGATGCCATGTTGATTTTGTTCCATTAAAAAGCTTATCTGTTTAGAAAGTTTTTTTCCAATAAAACAGCAATGGCAAAACATTTAGTTTTATTCACATCTATTACTTCAAGAACCTGGAACTTCAAGTTCTTCAGCAAAATGAGGATCAACTCTAAGACCAGATTTCCAAGTAGCTAGCTTTCTATTAAATATTAAATAGATTGTCAACACAACTAGCATTTATGTTCATTTTTAAATACTTTGTAAAAATGCATGTTATGAAATACAAAATGAAATAAAACAAAAAAACAACACCCTCAAGAACATTTCCAGTTTCTTTTTCATCCAAGTGTGCCACAGTTTGTTTTGGTTAGGAAACCTTTCCAACAATTGGATTTTCTCTGGAAGAAATAAAATATTACATGTAAGTATTTTTAGTGGTTTACATTTGCTTTCTAATTCTCATCATATAGTTTTTATTTATTAAACAAAGCATTTCCCCCCATAATTCCTAGCATTATTTCTGGAATGTCATGATTTGTGGAAAAATCTCATTTACTTTCATGTGAAAATTTTAAATCAAATGTCAATTTCTCTTAACAACTTGACTCGAATATTATACTAAGGAAACCACAACATTGTTGTGGAATTCTTTTTTATGGTGATTCAAGCATTACTGATGCAAAGAAACAAGTAGAAAACCTAACTACTGTTGTTTTATGGACAACAGCTAGGATCAAGGAGAACTGAAAGAATCACTTCTGGATCAACAACAAACACTAAAGATTTTTCTTCCCCAATTTCACCAAAAATAGTATTTATCATTGAATATGACAAGTGAATTAAATACAGTAAGTATGCATGAAAGATATGGGTGTGGTATCATTTTTACAGTTATATAAAATTTGATAGCTTAACACTTTTTTAACTGAAATTTAATAAAAATATATAACATTCTAAAAAATATGGTAGGCAGACAGTTAGGGATAATCACAGAATATCCTGAGTTGCAAGGGACTCACAAAGGTCATGGAGTCCAACTCTTGGGTCTGCACAGGACCTCTCAACAACCAGACCACGTGTCTGAGAGTATTGTCCAAACTTCCTGAATTCCAGCAGGCTGGGCGCCATGACCATTGCCCCAAGGAGACCATTCCATTGCCATCTGAAGTGCGCAAGAAAATTCACTTGCAAGGAAGTGACACACTTGTTGCTAATAGGGTCTTAAAACAAACACAAAGGAATCCCATGCCAGAGAAACATTTCCTATAATCTTAACAACAGGTGAAGAGCTGCACTATTACAAATACAGCAAATGATGTACTGTATTTTCTCCCTGTTTTCAGGTTGCCTAAATATAACTTCAGCTTAACTACCTCAAGAAACTTGACCTAATTGTGATTTTTAATTTTTTATTTTTATTTTTTACTTTACTATCAATACGTAAAAGTTTCTTAAGATACTTACTCACTACCATATTTAGCACTAGATGATCTCTTCTTTTGGTATTTTTCATGTGATTCATTCAGCTTTTCTACTATATCTATTATCTGTTTGAGTGTATGAAAAGTTGCTACAGAGTCTTCAATTGTGAAGTTAGAATAGTCATCTGGTTCTTTCCGTGGACCTTGATAGACAGCTATGCTTCCGCAAGCCTCTACAAAAGTTACCAAAATATCCCAATTAGCATTTTGATTATTAAGAAACAGATCTATTTACAACATAAATGGGGACTCTGAAATTCTGAAAACTGATGTTACTTAAGCTTATACATAGAGCTGATTGAGACAAAAGCAGAAAACAGCATCAACTAGATTTATTTACAGTTCTGTATCTATTCACCACTCATTTGGCATCTTGAGAATCCCTGCTGTTCACATTAACAGGAAATCAATGCCTTCTTGTAACTCCGCTATGTTACATATGATTCATTCCATAATCAGGAAAAGGAGAACAAAGAAGAGCAACTGCCTATACTTACTGTCTCTTTGTTTAGACTATTTAAAAGATTTCCTACATGCAAATATAATTAAAATAATGTGCTCATCTGATAACTACTGTTAAGAATTGACTGAAGAATGTCTGATACTAGAGTACTAAGGACTCAAAAATATATTGTGTCTCCAGTCTCTGTTATTTTCAGGTAAATCATTAAGAAACCTAACAGATGTTAGGGGCCTAAGGAACTACAGTTGAATAATATCAGCATAATTCTTCTGAATTACTATTTCAGTACCTTCCAACTTCTGAAGTTTAGACATGTTGATAGTGAAAAGTGAGTAAATTCTTTCTGTCTCTCTGTCTCCATCAATCTCAATTTGAGTATCAGCTGGAACATCTCTAAAATGTAAAAAAAAAAAAAAAAGACAAAAAGACGAGTACTCTAAAAGTTTGAAAGCAAGCAAAAACTGATACCATTTCAATATACTTAGCTTTTTAATTATGCCTATCACTCACAGACAACTTCACAATTGCTACACAAAATGCAGCATTCATTGCAAGTCTTACAGAAACATGAGTATACAGTTTTGAGGACATAAAAAAGGCTTTTTTCAGTAGAATTTATTATTCCATATGTCAAGAGAAAAATATTTTTTAAATATCAAAGATTAACTTTCATTAAACAACTAAACGCTGTTTTTACAAATCTACTTCATTTGAAAGGTAGCCAGAACAGAAGAACAAGATATATTTTTAAAGCACAACAAAGACAAAAACAACGTAAAGTTGGTTAGTAATGGAATCTTTAAAGCTGTTGAGAAACCTAATTTATGAATTAATCAAATAACATGGAAAAATGTATTACATATTTTTCAGAAAGTTCTCTCGTAGGATTTGTACTGAATTTTAGAGGCCAGGCTGTAAACTTTAGTCTATAACTTATGCAACCTATCCAGTTAAAGATAATTTATTAAAAATAATCCTAGCATTTGTTTTTAGAAATCAGCAACTTGAGAAAATAAGTTATGTGTTTTTCTTGACATACCTACACAATACAAATGATTTGTAAGAATCTGCATCTGAGATTATTTCACTGATATTCCTAATACACTGCTTTAAAATAAGTGAGGTCAAATGAAAGTGTGATTTTATAAAAACGAGAGAACACCGTTAGGGCAAGTGATAGACTTTCAGGCTGAGTCCTCAGCAGCAAGGTATTTCAATTACTTCATACGGATAACTTAGATGTGCCCTATTTCTGCATTCCACTTGGCATCTGAATAAACATGAGAATTCCTATGCCTATTCTTATTTGCACTAGGAACAACAGCCCTCGAGAAAAAAACGTCACCAGCTGAAGGTTTGCCGCAGAGTAAGTAACTACCACTGATTTCTTCCCCCAACAACCTCTGTACCCACTGTCCACTTTAGGAGCTTAAAGGACAGACAATTAAGATGCCAATTTCCAAGGTGCTTTGGACTGTCAGTGTTACAATACAGACCACAGCAAACAACTTAGAACAGTCAATTATTGATAGCTCAGAACACAGCAAGAGAACGAAAGGAATTGGTAATAAACAACCAAGTGTACCGTAACTCTTTCATATATCAAGTTCTCATTCACAGAAGTACCACAACATGGCATAAAAAAAGAACGGAAATGTTATGGTTTCTCCCAGACCACCATACACTACACACTGCCAGAACTATTTACTACCAGAACTCCTCTACATTACCAACATGGTACTAGCATACAAGATAACTATCAACAGAATACTCATTAGCTACAAAATACCTTGTTCTGCATAGAAAGAAATTAACCATTCAGTATTTCTGATCTACATACTCAGTTGGCTACCTTAACATTTCATGTGGTGGCTGAAGAAGCAATAGATTTATTAAAGCCCAGTACTAAGAAATGTTTTTAGTAACTTCCTAAAGCAGACAGCAAAAGCCTTGCCTTCTTCAGATTCTCAAGTTGTACAGTGAATCATACATGATTTATCCTATAAAACATATGCAATTTCATTTGAGAAGCAACTTACGCAGTGCAACGAGCACAGCCCACTGTGTTTTCTATTGTAGCCTTGCAGCAAAGCCAGCTCCCATTCAAAAAAGCAGAAGGATGGTAAAAATTAAGCCTCTTCTGGTTGCATCTCGTCACCCTGCAGAGAGCTTCTATCCACTCACTAGCTTCTACACAGTTATTTGCTTGGATATAGAGTGGCTTTTCTCCATGTAGTACTTGAAACATCTGTAGAAGGAATGCAACAATACATGTATTCTGCCCAGTAAACAAATCTAGTTATTGAGCAACTTTGAGTATGTCAATACAAATTTCAAGTCTCACACAATTTAAACCTATATTAAGACTAGAAGAGAGACAAGGGAGGCAGAAAAAAGACTTTTCACTTCTCATTTTCCTAAATGACCCTAAAAAAAATCCCACCGCACAAAACCAGCTTCCTATATTCCACTTGTACCACTTCATCAAAAAAAAAAAAGTCATAAAAGAATAAGAATATTCTGCTTATTCTCTAAATGTGATGTCAAATTTCATGTTTTTTAATTGTTATTTTTTATTATTATTATTTTTTTAATCTTGAGAGTAACAAAAGTTTCCCAGAGATTTCTGCTTTAGTCATCCTCAGCCTAAGTAACAACTGCACGTTTATCACTGCCTCCAAATTCTGGATTCAAATATTGACAGAAATAATGATGTGTTACAGGTCCAGAACAAGGCTGTAAGGACAACTGTCTTAACTGTTGAAGGTACTGTAGACATTCTAATTAACAGAAATAAATACAAGTCTGGTAATATTACATTTTATTACATAAGAACATAATACAATTCATACTACTACTACCACCACCTTATATTAAAGTGCTTTGTAGTAAGGTCCCAATAGTTTTAACTGCCATTCTAAAAATTTGGGAAGGGGGGTACGAGTCAAAATCGGAAAAGTTGGTGCAGAGATCAAATAGTCCAGGCTGTTTCACGTTCAGAGTACTAGGAAATACTGAATACAGCTTCCCTCCTCCCCCTGATTCAAAGATTTTTTAATGAAACTTTTAAGAGTAAATTAAGCTAATTATAAACTATTGAAGAATATATCAAAAATTATAAATAAACTGTCTTTTGACTCACATTTTTCTTGTTGAAGGAGCTCTCATCAAGCTTCTCCACTGCAAGGATGTTTTTGATTGGAATCGTGAAGATTGGTTCTTTATCTGTAAAATTTTGTAAACAGATAATGAGTGAAACAAATTACAGTACATATATAACAACTTCAGTGCACTTACAATAATAAGTTCTCAAAATGTGCATTTATATTTTTGAGGTACATAAATCAGACTATACTCCGATGATGAGAATGGGAAGACTCAGTCTCAGGAAGCAAGATTAGGGAATGTACGTTCTATTTCCTCACTAATGTACCTGCTTAATATGCCACATTAAAGTGGCAAACTGAAAAAACTCAATAGTTAGGTGGGCTACAGAACAATAATATGACATACAGCATATGACAATAAACAGTGCTATTTATTCTGTTGATTTCATTTTTTAAACAAAGGTCATTGTTAAAAATTAAAAAAAAAAAGATTGGCATGTTTTCTTCTTGCCAAATACCAAATCTATGCCTCACCTTGCATTTTATCATTATCACCAGAGAAGAAATTGGCCAGCAAAAAGGCCACTGTATAGAATCAAGACTGTATTACACAAAATGCCAAAAATGCTTCCTTTTATCCAAATGCAGGTTACATGCACATACATGTACCACCACACAAAGATTATAAAATATTTTTTTGTAAATAGATTTTTTTTTTAAAAATAAGTTGCAGGAAGCATGAACATGAATAAATCAACTATTAGGGGAATGCAGGCATCTAGTACCTTCTTGTTACTCAATATTAATAATCCTTTGTTATCTCATGTGTGACAGTGTCTCATATGAATGGTATTAATGAGCATGGTACATCTTTGATTATGCAACTAGCCAAAGGCAGAAATAAAAAAAATTTCTTTGACTTTTTAAGCTGTTAACTTTCATTTCTAAGTAAATACAGACTGCAGCACATGGACCACCTTCAGGATTTTTTGTATCGACATATTTAATAAACAGCTAAAGCAAACACACTGTGAAAAACTTGATTATACGTATTCTTGCATTTCACAGTGCCATGAACAAAAACTTATTTAAAAAAATATTTTTAAAGCTCATTTATTTGCAAGGCAAATTTTAAAATGCACATATAGATAAGTCTGTATCTTACCCTACAGTGGACTACTTTAAAAATTGAATATTAACCAGCAGCTATGAAGTTATATGCAGATCATAACCAAGACATTATATTTAATTAAACAGATATGATTAAAAAGCATCTGATCAAACAGAATTTTGCTGAAAACACCAATTCATCCAATGCCAGTGTCATCAAAACCAGACATTTTGTGACGTAACCTTCAATTACCTTCCAACAAGCAGGCAACAGTTTTCCTGAGAAACCTGTGTCTCTACATGCCAGCTCAGCATTTAGGTTTCCAGTATCAATAGCTAACTCCAACGTAACAAGCATCAGCATTTAATAAATTCCTCAATGCAGGCACAAGCAGAAGCAAATGCATTCTCTGATTTGCTGCACTGAACTGAAAATTCCCAGGACCCTGGCTCCAAATAAGGCTCTCAAGAGCTACCAGCATTCCAAGGCTAGAAGGTCTCAAGCTAAGAAATAAGAAGACTCACTACCACAGTACAGATCTTAGAAGATCTGAGATCTTGGATCTCTGACAGCCAGCTATTCTGGTCTTCAAGTCTAAACTGTATACAGTAAGTTCAGTAAATTGTGCTGCAGAAGCTTTCTGCAAGATAAGTGTGACTCTACAATTCAGATCTTGAGCATTTGATAAACAGAGCAAAAGGTAACGAAAATGTATCATTATGAGCATTAGGAAAAACAAATCATTTTTTTAAAAAGCTAAAACCAGATACAAACACCTAGAAAACATTGAAAAAAATAACAGGCATAAAATATACATAATTTACCTTGCTGTTTGTGGTAGGTGAATTCTCTACTTGTTAGACAGAACCACCGCTTCTTGAAATTCTTTTTACCAATCCGAGTCCTCCCCTGAGCTCTTTTGTACATTTCTCTGTAACAACAGAATCCAATGAAAATGATACTTTAGTCTTCCAGAGAGGTTTCAAAAAACATCTGAGAACACATTGTTACCACATGATGAGTAACATAACCTACTTCATTGTAAATTAAAACTTCTATTTATTCAAAATAAGCCCTCAAGATTGCCTCCAAGTATGGTGATCATTTACACAGTTCCATTAACAAGTTGTAAGTGTGAAAAACAGTAAATTTGGGGGCAGGTACTTGCTTATTCAGATCAAGAACTCAAGAACATGTGAATGTAGTTGGTATTATCTGGATCAAGAACTGAATAAAAATGAAATGATGATGAACACAATTCAACAGGAGTAGACACAAATTGTATTCAGTAGAGTTTAAAAGCATGCTCACTGGCAACCACTGTTTTGAGCAACAGCCACCAGTTTCTCATACAGATTAGCTTCCCAATTGCTGTAATTTAGTGTAAATCTGCAACTGTGTCCTTCATTTCTATTAGTATCTTAGTAAGATGCATTAACTGCTTGTTTTAAAATCAGATGCTTGTTTCATAGAAAAGGCTTTGCCATGCTTCTCAGGTGAATACAAATCCTTTTTCCCTATAAATGTTGTTTTAAATCAATTTATCAGATTTCTTGACGAACACCAGAAAATGACAGTTTCTTCATTTCTCAGATGTAGCAATTTTAATTTAACAATTTTTATAAAAGCATTCCATCATTTACTGTAAAGTATGCCAACTACAGTGTAGGGCTTTTTTGCCTACTATTAAGAAATAGCATTTAGCTGACTGGGCTTTAAAAGTACGTAAAGTAATTCTATACTAAATAAATTTTATGTTATAGTTTTTTACAATTCTGAATAAACCATCAACAAAGCACACACTGAATTATAACAGAAATTCAGACAGATTTTAAACTTCTAATCCTCCCCCTAGTGTTTAAAATATGACTACTAAAGTTCACAGAATTAGTTTCCACTGACACCTGTAAACTAACAAAAAATATCACAACTAACAGATATTGTAATTACTAGTTAGGTCAAACATTTTATTAAGTATTAATCTGATGTTGGCATTAATGAAAAAAATTAAGTCAATTTTTCACAATTTTTTTCAGATTCAAGATGTGTTTACCCTTCTTTTAGATGTACTGGCTCACTCAGACCACTTGGTTCTTTACTTTCAGTAGAGGAAACATCATCTAGAAACTTAAGTAAAAATACACAGTAAATAAATATTATTCAGAAGCAATGAACAACCAAAAGCTAGTTTGCAAATACATACGTACTGTTTCTCCTAGTACAAGAACAATTAATTCAACACAATAAATGAAAATATATTACAGGGACTTGAAGCAATTTAAGGAGGGATGCCACTAAAATGCACAAATTTTCTGTAATTATTTCCTAAACAGAAGATCTAATAAAGCTTGTTTCATTTTCTACTTTTCCTCAAATTAAATTAGCTTAGTCCACAATGTACAACTGTTACTTTTTTTTTTTAAACTTGAAATGCACTTTTTAGGAATTCATAGTAGAAAACTCAACAATAACATAACCCTTTAATAAGACTGATGAAATACATCAACCGTAAGAAGAGTTATAGTTAAAAAGTACCTTTTTGACAGATTCAGTAAATTTGTCTTCTTGAAATGTTTTAAAAAACTCGCACATAAATGTCTCCTTGAAACTTGACTGAAAGAAAAGATATTTGAACATAAATAAACATATAAAAAATTAACTGTATGAAATGAGAAAGAAATTTAATAGCCTTACAAGTTTGCTTTTGGTCAAACTTCCCCAACTCCCCAAAGTCTGGATGGCTTTTGATATGAGAGTTAATGTTCTAGAAGTCTGTGCATCCTGAAATAAAGAAACAAAATGAAGAAGTTATTTTTATATATTTTTCCATATAGAATTTTGATTCAAAACTGAAAATGTCACAAAAATTATTACATTATACCATGTAAAAATTCAAAAGCAGTGCTGTTCTTCCGTGCTAACTGTGCTTTTTGAATATAATATATATATATATATATATCTTTTAAATCTATTGTACACTGTTTAATACGTTATTCACTATCACTAGAATTTAGGCAAACATTTTTTTTTCAAAGCATGCTATGGAACATCTTGTCAAACCTCTCACATCCTACTAATGCTACTACATATCCAATGCTTCTGAACTATTCAAAACTGAACACTAAAATTACTGCTGTGCAAATACTAGAAATGTTTGTAATACAAAGGGAACTTAAAACACTGTATATAAGGCTTTTGCCTAATTTACTACCTCTCTACTTGCATTTTAAAGTAGTATTAATGCAGTCATAGTGAGGGGCCTTCCTGTTCCCCTTAAAGTGTCTAGCATTCAAGTGATGAATTCCCATCATCTCCTTCTACTCTTACAAGCTGCATAATGTCAAACTCATTAAGTAGATTTTTCTTTTGAAAGTATAATACATGAATCAATAAAATAAGCTAATGAAGCTAACCTCTGGAGTTTCATATACATTCACAAGGTTTCATACGTATCCTGTATTCTACATGAAAATAAAACAGTATTTTTTCTCATCTCCATATTTTTTTTATTTTTTTTTTTTATGTACATATACTTGACAATTTATGACTTGAAAATTTGGCAATCCAGTGAAACTACTGGAGTCCTGATTAAATGCACAGATCAATTACAGAGAACTCTACAATCTCTATTTAAGATGAGAACGGAAATACTGTTTTAAAAGTAAAAGTGATACCTGAATATTTAACTTCCATGGTGGAAAGAACTAAAACTATTTCGCCATATGGCTTAAAAAACCCTGAGTCATCTTGATATTCCAACAAAGCAGCAGTTTTACATCATTTGAGAACACCTCATAAAGGCTGAAAAATGTGATGCCTTCAGAACTGCAAACATTTTAATTCCACAGGTGAGGTATAAAACTGAAAACCTCATAGAATCATAGAATATCCCGAGTTGGAAGGGACCCATAAGGATCATCAAGTCCAACTCCTGGCACCGTAGTAAGTGATCTTACTTCCCAGTTAAGGGCCCAGTGAAAGTAGCTTATGACTTCCCAGATAAACAGATCTGACAGTTATGAATAAAACAGAACAAAGCTTCACAAAACTTACTGGATGATGAGGTCGTAAATGAAAAGTATGAGGTGAGACTACGGCTACAGCAAAGAAACGAAGAAACACAAAGCTGCTCACTGCAGAATACTGTACATGAGGGTCATCTGCAGAGAAAAACGATGAAATGTAACATGCACTAAACTTAATAGGAAATAATGAAGACAGTCAACATAAAAATCCTTAAGAAGATCACGTCAGAGAAGACACTTATGTTTTAAAATAGAGCAGAAAAATCAATGAAGCGCATGAAATGAGAAAGATGATCATGGTAAGAAATGTTCTACTTATAATGGGGGGTTTATTTCTCTGAAGAGAAGTTCTGTTCTCAGAAAAAAAATTGCTGATCAGCTCCACTATAAGGAACAATGAGATCATTGCAAGCACTTATATATACACACACATATACAGCACTGATTAGGTAAGGCTGTATGCACATTAAACCAAAAGAGAAAATACTGTAGCAGCTGACTCAACACTAGACCTATCAGGTTATTCACCCATAGGACTAATAAACTCACAGACATTAATGCTGCACAACAAATGTTGTCAACACATATGAACAATTTCAACTCCAATTCCAAGCTGCATCATAAAATCACAGTATTGTATAATCTTGATGCTCTGAGGGCTTTAATATTTTCAGTATATTTAGGATGTAATAGAGTGAGAACACATCCTTAATGCAATGACAACTTCAATCTGATCTGTCAGATTAGTTAGCTGTTCTAAAACAACTGTCTTAACCACAGGAATTTATGACCCCAGGTTCAGTGATGAACACGAATCAAACGAAAGCCCCAGATAGTAAAAAGTATGTCCTTCCTTTGTAGCCTGTCGGATGACATTTTAGGTTTTAATTGACTGGAGCATCAGAGTATCTCATATCCAGCACATTATTCCTATGTTAAAACCATTCTGAAAGAATAAAGGTTTTCTAATTCTCTGGTCACATTCCAAATACATTAAATATTTTATCTTCTCCATGCTCTGCTCTACCTTGACCTTTAAGGTAGTAAAGCTTTTCATTGGACACTTAAGTTATGAATGTAGTAGTCCTAGTCAACATAGTTGCCATTCATGTAGTTAGATATAAATATAAAAGTGAAAATTAATTGATATTTCACAATTTTATTACTTCCTTAGAAGCAATAAAAACAGATTAGCTCTTCTGAATTTGAATTATCTTTTTCAAATAAATTGCTTCCTGCATAACTTGTGGATTTCTTCCAGTATCTTGTATCTTGGCATCTTTTTTGCTACCATCTTATATTGTATCAGAAAATACATATAATTCTTGCTGATTTACCACAAGGCTTTACTAAGGCATACAGTCTGACCAAAAAAATAAATGCCTGATTGTTGAGGTAAGAAGTTCAGAACACAGTAATGAAAAAAGACAGGAATTTTAACAATGCCCATAAGATAAATATAGAAGTTAATTATGTTACTCTGAATGTAATTTTCTGAACATAGAGAGCACTTACTTGGAAATCTTTTGGCAGCCAGATGCCTCAAAGAATAAAAAACATCACACATTAGGGTAGGACAACTTATACTTGACCGCACAATTTCACGGAATACTTTGTCTACATAATAGCGTAGGTTTTCCTGTAATTATGAAAAAAGTCATTTTTCAGACCATTGACTATGGCTTTTCCCTGAACACAAACATAACACTATTTTTTTTTTCCAAAACATTGCCTGATTATTCCTCTACGTATTTTAGTAAAGTGCGTATTTTAAAAGCTTCATAATATTTATATGGTATTACTAGTGTTAAAAGATTATTTAATGCTACACACATGAAAACACATAAGCAGTGCTTGGTAATGGAAAACTATCAAAAGACATCTTTGTAATTTGACAATAGATAACAAAGTAGTAGTACTTCCCATGCAACCCTAGGAATGTTAGTTTAGCTTGTTGCAGCCACTAATGCTTTTAACATCATCCTCTAGGAAGAGGCAAGCAGCAAGTAGAACTTCAATGAAAAGTATTAAAGTACTGACTAGCTACTTCAGCACCTGGATCCTGTGTGGAACATCAGGAACCACAATATCCAACAAATTGGTAAGGAAGTGTGTAATTCTCTAGCTTTACCTCCCTTGTTCACTGAAAACCATTTTTTGTTTTAAACAGAGATAAGAAAATACATTTTTTTCCTTTATTTACATTGGAATCAGAGAACTATACCACTAACATAAGTACTTCAAGTTACTCATTTGCCATTATACGGAGCTGCTTTTTAAAGTATTTTCCTATGAGATTTTGAGAAAGCTTACATTAGGAAAAAGAAAGTAGGAAACTCACCATATTAATTTCTGCATTATCCCCTTCTCTTAATTTGATTGGATCTATTTCACAGGGTTTAGGAGACTCACATATCTGAAACAAACAGAGGTTTAAGAGTTCCAATTTTCAGATAGCATGTATGGAAATACAACTCTTTAAAACTGGACCGCCTCCTAGATTTAGGGTGACAATTCTAAAGGAATTCCAAGCAGAACAGCATGCAATAACCATCCTCACTTTTGTGTGTGCTTTTTTATATAGATCAATTGTACAAAGCATCACATGAGAAAATTCTACAGTGTGTTAAGAGGCTGGAACAACTGTCATCAACTTGATTTTCAAGCATCTACAACAGAAAAAAACAGAAAGTAACTCCTTTAACCATTAATGCTCAATTTAACTTTCCTCTAGAATTCCCTCACCTGAGTAATTATTGCTGCATAGGGATAAGAAGAATGCCCATGAAAGAGACAGTGTCCTGCAAATAGCTTCAGCATGATAACCTACCTCATCAATAACTGCTTTCAAAGTAACCTTTAGGTAGTGTTTTCCCACTATTTTCATCATTTCATCTACACACCGAGTTGCTAGTGAATTCCCTCTGAAGACTGTGTTTGCTTCTCTGGAAGAAAAGAATTGATTTTATTTGAATGGGGAAAAAAGGGAACTTGGCTACAGAAATCTGATTAATATTTTACCTTGCTATTAAGTTATTACAAGATTTTATCATGTATTTCAGTCAGAAATTTCAGAACCTTGCTATCCAGCTTGTAATGGCACCCAATGAACAGAAAGAGAATAAACAAAGGTCATGATATTACTATTAACAAACCCAGGAACAAATAAACACATGGGAAAGCCCCAGAAATTTTATACAAAGAAAATTATAATTCAGTGCTGAATGTGAAAAAGAACTATTGGAGAAAACTCCCCAAAAAGTGAAGACTTGTACCAGACCAGACTGGTACAACTGGTATGCTATTATTCTTCCAGTGCTCCTGGTTGGCAAACTCAGAGCGACAAAAAATAGCATACTACTAACACTCTACTGACAAATTCAGACATGTTTAGATCAAAACACAGATCAAATCTACAGTTGTGTTAGGTTATTTGTTACAGATTTTGAAGGAAATTGGAAGCCAGCTGTAAATCTCTTTTATCTGATGGGTTTAGTATAATCTGTGTTTGTCAGTTTAAATATAATGGAAAGGAATATGCGTACCAAAATTCAATGTAAAAAGTTATTTTCCACGAGTCACCTCTTTCTAAATGAATTGGTTCACCTTAAATTAAATCTTTAACAACTCAGCTTTAAAATGAACAATCCTGTGGTGAAAAAATCCCTTCCGCTTCTCCACAGGACATGACTCAGCACCTCAGAAGCCACTACTCAGGTCTACTTCATTTCTCTCCTAACCACAGAGCTGCAAATCCAGGGACCATACCCTCCTACAGATATGATTATGTGGGAAACCTCCTGTGCTTGCTACTTTCAAGGCACGTAGGAGGACACAGACTTACTTACGAGGCATTCTTGCAGAAAAGAAGTAACCGTAAGTCATATACCAGAACGAAAGAGGATGAGATTCTTAGCAATTTTTAAAAACATTCAGTATCAATCTACCGACCAGAAAAAACTTGGAGTGGCTCAATTATGATATTTTGAAACAAAAACTGTGTGCTTGCAGACAACTCTAGATTCCTAATTTGCTATGCTTAGCTGTATAATGGCTCCAAGAATATTTTACAGACAATCAATTTCACCTAAAATAGCACCATGAATTGGTAAATCTGATTCCCAGCTTCACTGTGATTTTAGTGAATGTTTTTACACACTAACATTAGAAGTTGCGTATCAGTTTTTCCATAATGAGAAAACGAAATCTGACATGCTTATTTATCAATGCTGTAGTGTGAAGTCCCAAGAAACCCTAAAAATAATTTAAAAAGGTGTGACATAACTAAACATGGAATACATACTGAGTGTCCTTCAGGTCCAGTTCTGCTACTGCAGCAACAAATGGGACTAGCTTATGGTGGTGTAGTAGCAACCGTACAAGAGGCAGAACAGCATCGTACTTATCTCGACAAACTTCACATAATATGTATGCAGCAGATGCGGAAATTGGCTGTGGGAAAGCAGAATAAAACTTTGTGAGTGAAGTAGTTAAAGGCTCTGCTTATACGTGGCAAAGTACAAATCTGACTCAAATCTAGCAAAATGAGGGACATAGCTTCTTAACAAAAATTTTTGACATTTGCTATATAACATGACAATTACGTTTCCATTCTACATAAATATTTAATTAAAAATTGGTATTACCTGTTCCACACTTAAGAATAAAATTCACTGTCTACTCACCCTTCCCACTCTCCCCAAAGAGTGGGAATATAGCTTTGTGACAAATCCAAGCACAAGGCAGTAAGCAACTATGTTACTATAATGCCATATATCTTATAATGCCATATATCTTCACAGGACTTTCCTTACTATAATTAGAGCACACTCAATTACAGTTTTGAAACTTCTAAGATGTCTGTCCCCATTCTTCTGCTGGGAATTCTAACACAAAAACATATCAAAAATTTAAGTGAAAAGCCACTGACTGCCAATAAGCTATGTTCATACTTGAATATTGGCTAGTAAAAATCTTAGTTACGGCTTCCTCTTTCCCTTCCTTCTCCTCTGCTAATACTTCAATGCTGAAATGAAGAAATTGTGTAAAAGACCAAGTAACTATAGTGACTATAATTTAATTCCTGGCTCATAATGCTATGCTAGCTATCTACCACACTTCTATCTTAGTCACTATGTCTGAAGGGAGACATCCACTCATGCTTAATATCATACTAGAGGAGATGGCAGCAACTTAGAAGAGGTGGAATTAGACAACAATTCTGAAGCAAACCATTTTTGGCAAAGGTGATTGTTCACCCTGTCAGTGCCAATAATGAATCAATGTTCCTTGGAAACTTCTAAATCCAGGGGTCAAAAGCCCCTGGAGAAGTGGGAGAAGACAGTGTTAGAAAGAAGCAACTGACAAGTAGAAAGTTTTTTTTTTTCTTTATTGTTTCTAGTCAGACAGCACTGGTTACTTCACTGTGCTGGTTCTTCTAAAATAAAATTTTGGTAGTTTGGAACAGAACTAAATGCTCTACACAAGCTGCTTACTGAGTTGCAGCGGAAGTAATGAAAAAAATTCTTTGCTTAGTCCCACATAGGACAATATAATTCATTTTAAGTCTTTGTTTTAAAAGTAATTTTCAACAGAAGTACCTGAACATCTGATGATTTTAGCAGCAAGTTTCTTAGAGAAACATAGTATTCAGAGGGAAGTACACAGTCTTCAGTGTAGCAAATATTTAATCTAAGTGATCCCAAGTCATCAGTTTTAGAAGACTTGTTGCCATTTTCTCTTGGTTGAAGTAAGTACCTGAAAGAATAAGGCAATTCTAAAATATTAAGATTTACATTTTATTAGTTTGACTAATTTTACAGTAACGCAAAATATTGCCTTTTGTTTCAGTATACACACACTCAGACAACTGTTGGTAAAAGTCACATCAAAAAAGACTGAGAGTAAAGAAAAAAGAAGCAGTATTTGGTGCACCTTCAGCAAATAACAGAGTATCTATTTATGTTCTCATTTCTTTGCAAACACCAGAATAGGATGTATTTCCAGTACCTCTGCTGGGATAACAGGAATAGTTAGAAATGATGTTGAACCTTCTTGTTTTACATCTGTGCTATGATTAGGGTGTCTTGACCTTGCAGATGGAATAGCTAATATCAAGAATTTAAATGGTCTAGTCTGAAGACAGTAAAAATATGTATTACCAGTCTGCTTTCTTAAGAAACAAGATTTAAAAGGTTTAAATACTTTTAATGTAGTCTTTTCCTACTCTTAATACAGAATACATTTAAAACAATCCTTTGTTGGCTTTTGTTGTAGTTCAATTGTATTCCAACAGGAGGTGCAACAGAACAAAAATTTTAACAGCTTTTAAATACTGCCACAATATAGTTCCAACATTTAGACCAACAAACTAATTGTATCTTCAAATACTCTTTTACAGCCATTTACATTTCTATGTTTACAATCAGAAAACCTGATTATTTTTTTTAATAATTAGATGCACTTCCCACAAAGGCATACTAATATAAAGCACAATGAATTTACATGAAGTGCTTGACAGCGTGACTCAAGCTTGTTTTTCCAATACTTTGTACTACTATACTAGTGCTAGTTCTTCACCTCTTGGGGTCCCATTGTACTTCAAAGCATTTCATGTGAACTAGTAATAGTTTAAGAAAAATTATTTTTAATCACAGAACTGTTTTTATAAGCAGGTCATAATTGGATTAAGAGGGTGTTGACATGCAAAGTACACCTACAGAATGTATTAGCAGACTTAAGACCCTCTATCAATACTTTGTCAACCATACACGAGCCATATCCAAGAGCTATACGAACACTATGTGGTAGTAAGTCCATGATAATATAAATTTTCTCTTAGCAGGTTTTTAAATGAGGCACATCGTTATGTTAACATTGTTACACGGCTTTTGATCAGCTGGCAGAACAAGACTGAAAACAGTCAACTGAAAATTGAAAAAAAAAAGCCAAACATTTATTATGTTTAAGACTAAAACTCAAGAGTTCAACTCTGACACGTCTAAGACACTTGGAGGCTGTCTGAGGTGAGTACATGGAGCACAAACAGCCCCTGGTTAAGACCTGTGTTCCATTTAGTTCTTATTTATCCAATTCCTTTGTTTCCTTCATGGACATGTGAGGGCTGTCATCCTTCCCTTCCTCCACCCTCTGTACTGAAAGGTTCACTAAAACCAGAATATTCTACACACTTCAAGGCAACTGGATCTGCTGTACTCATTTCCTGCCACTAGGCATTTCAGACAGTAGAGGGTTAGAGACTGGCTTTCTTCAGAAGAGAAGTTGTTGCTACGTTATAAGCAGATGCCTCTCCTGAAATCTCTGTGTAACTTACCCTTCCAGCTTTTAAGCTTCTACACATGCTCTCTTGAAATGACACTGGGTTGGTTCCAGAAGATATTCCCTCAACCTCCCCGAAGAAAAAAAGCACCATACTTTTTTACTAGTTTTATTTTAAAATCAACTTTTCATCAGTTATTCTGGAAGGCTAACTTAGGAATTTAATTACAAGCAATGCGATACTGAAAAGTTCCAGGTTTACTGGTTAATCTGAAAAGTATACACAGATCACTAAAATGCAGCAAACTGAAACAGGTATATTCAATATTACCTTTCTTTACTCCCTGTATTTTCCACTCAAACACATTAACTATTCTGTGGGAGTCGGCAGACTGGCAGAAGGGAAAAAGTACATGAACCCTCTGTCAAGGTTAATTTATTGAGCAAGAAAACCCTCTAGAAAGACATCTTACCCTTTGCACCTTGCATGTACAGAATTCTAACCTTATTCAGATGAACTAGACTACAACAACTCAAGCAGAACAACATATTTCAGTGAACAGTTAGAATAAAGCATATCCTTTACAAGGGGAAATAGGCATGTTACAATAGAATTAACTTATGAGCCATCATTTCTCACCATGCTTGAAAGGAATCATTTCTTAACACCTTCACGGGAACTTTAATTTCTCCTAGGAAGATGTCTTGTACCAAATTTCCATTGTTCCATAGGTCCACCCTGAAAATCAGAACATTGCTCATTATTTTTTTGTTCCCCAGAGTAATAAAAATCCTCAAGTTACAGCAACTGCCTTACAGCACTAATCCACATGCATGCAGGCAGGAAATGTTAGAAATGTCACTCCATTCTAATTAAATCAAGAGGAATCAAACAAGTGTCTTATTAACCCATAAAGAATAAACAAACAGTGAAAGTTAGACTTGCAGACCTTGCATCATTAAAAAAAAGATTCCACCCCCAAAACTGTCCACATTTCTTCTTTAATAACTCAAGTGAACTTTTTAACTGATATATATACATATCCCTCTCTAATTGCTAAAACTGGGCACACCGCAATGCCACACCGACACATGCGCATGTTTTTCCAAAGAGAAGCTTGTATGTTTACAACCTCAAAAGGAATCACAGACTCCAGACATGCACCTTGTGTTTTTTTTCTAGTACTTCTTACCTCGCTGACATTTCTGACAGACAGCAGATGTTAAGGAGAACAAAAAAAAATAAATACTAGATTTGTTGGGGCATGACTATTTTTCTAAAAATATTTGCATCTATAATGATATACACAATATTAATTAAGATATTCATGAAGCTAGTAGTAAAAAATGCACAAATTTAGTTCATAATAGCTATTATCTAACCACTAAATTCTTCTGATGTCTTTTAGGAAACTTATGCTAGCCTTGAAGATCTCTTTGTCATTCAGTAGATCTGGTGCATGTATGTGCATGAGCACAATAAAGAAAAGAAGCTGAGTACGGGAGCTCTCAACTGTTCTAACTGCATGGCAAAATTACAGACAGACCTGCTCTAAGAGCAAAGCAACAGGAAAGGGGTAATGTACTCTTTTTTTGCAAGGAAAAGATGCAACACAAACATTTCTCTACGAAGTAACGTGAAACTATAAGAAGCTCATAAGAAGCCTTTTTTATTATTATTTAAAAAAAATAAAATACAGCTACACCTGCATTTGAAACCACAGGCAAACATCAAGTATGCTGTTATCCTTCAGGACAAGTTCTGTACTCAATGTTCTGCCCAAACAGTATGTACTGACAGGAGGTCCTCATGCCTCTTTACCCACAGGAAGGAAGTTTAGACCACTAGATACACTCTAGCACTATTTACTTAAAAACTGGAAAAAAAAAAACAAAAAAAAAAAAAAAAAACCACCACACCTCCATTTCATCTTCAGTAAACAAAATACTACAAGATTTGAGTAATATTCTATGTTAGAAGGATCTTTAGTACAAATCTATCCAGTAATTCTCTAAAGCTACATCTTGAACAGCTACAATAAAACATTTCCTTATTGTCTTGAAGTACAGTAACTTATGATAATAATAAAATAAATTATTTTATAATCTACATAATTTACCTGACTTCCAATTTCTCAATGTCTTCTTCTTCCACCTGAAACTGGGACTTTTTGGTGTAACTGCTGGACCTGGTTACCTGCAAGTAGAATCTTTCTATTAGCACACTTTTTACTGTTGTATTACACAACTCAAAAACCAGAAAAATCTCAAGACTAACACTGGTAAATAATTACTATTCCTTTTAAAAAAGGAAAACATTCAGTTTACGAAACAAATTGCCTTTTCACAGAAAGCAGGTTAAACAATGTTGAGAAAAGGTCACAGGAGAGCCTGATAAGGGCTAGCTGAGATCTAAGGGAACTACAGTACAAATCTATTAGAAAAAAACAAGAAGGAAATATGACATTAAACTGTCAAGAATTTCTTTGGTTTCAGCATGAGCCGGAAGAAAGCATTAAGGTTAGTCTTGAAACGTGTAAGGAAACAAGAAGTGCACTTCTATTGCCCTAGTTATATCACGATCTTATTGTTGTACTTTCTAATTTCTTGACTGGTCACATTCTGAGGTTAACTCTGGTAAATCAGAAGTCACTAAGCTACTGGAGTGTTTTTTGATCATAGTTTTATCCTATTATCTGACTTCCCAACAAATCACATTCAGTATCTTGAGCAGGTAAACTGAAACACATGCTATACTTGTTACTCTATACTTAAGTAGGGAAAAATGTCTCACTGAAGGCATGCAGCAGAATCAGGATTTATATAAACACAATAAATTTGAATACATTTAAGGCACAAATTTTACTACTTTTAACTCTCAAGTGAACAATACAAGCAATGTAGTTTTTAATTACAACAAAATCAGATAAAAATTTGAAGTCATTATTCGGCTACAGTAGGGCAACTCAAGCGGAACTGAAATCAAATCCCAAATAAAAAAAGTTAATGTTCTTTTAATCAAATCATGAAATTAGCCTTTATTGGGTATAATTGCTATGTTATTTTATTAAGGAAATAAATATATTTCTCAAGCTGAAGGCTCTTGAAAATATTTAAGTTGAATTCCACAGGACAGGTTCAAGTTCTGAGAAAACTCCTATTGGCAGCAGCATATAAAAAGATTAAAGATAACAAGTTATCTTTACATATGTGCTTATTAAGAAAAGTCTCTTTTTACATAGCAATCGAAAGGGAATGCTATTGTCTGACAGTCCACAGCAACGTAAGGATGTCACTCACTTATACTGGAGGGGTTAGCAAAAACTCTTTAATTTGCTTGAAGAGAGCTTTCTGCATTAGTAACTGCTACACAGCTCACTTAAAAATATTTGAAGGATTGAATAAAATAGACAGACAGAATACCACACAAAAAGTTACCTCAAAATAAAATGTTTCGTTAAACTGCGGATTGCTTGTTTTCTTCTTTACTTTGGTCTTCTTTTGGTCATTCCTGTTCCAATGTGGTAAAATTTTTACCATAGACAACTTAAACACACAATTATAAAGACATTCTATTGTCAAGAAGGGCCCACACATTTAAGTTTAAATATTTTGTCATTTTAGAGATCAATCAAAATCTTACATGATTATCTTCACAATATAGTCTGAGGTTAAAATTTCAAGCACTTATCGGTGCACCTGTTCAGCCCAAGTTTCGATTTCATTTCACAAGTGTAATTTGCACATAAGATAAAATATTTTAACAACTCATTAAACACTTCAAGCTTAAACCTATAGGCAATTTTGTTACCACTGCCTGCAGGTTATGAGCACAGTTTTCCCGGTTGTGTTCAAGCGACCATTTTTGTTTTACCCATTTTCTTTTGGTAGAGAAATACCCACTATTTCTTTACACAGACAGGCTTACACCAAGCTGCTCAATGTTTTCATTAGAAGAAACTGCTGTTAATACTGAATTCTAAACAGCATAGGGACAAACAAACAAACACTCCCAAGTCCTTTCTGACTTATATAAATAAAAATTACTGGTTTTTACATTTTAAACATTTATAATAAAGTCTTATTTAGCTAGTGAAAGGCTATGATAGTATAAAATGCTTTATAAAGCAAACAAATATATAATGTGGGTGAAGAAAAACAGAGAATGTAGAGGAAAAGGTGTCTCCTAGCCTTCAAACAACTGTTTTCAGGAGGTTCTGGCTATATAAATACTCTGCTCATGGTACATGAGTCACCCATGCATGAGATCGGAAATTCTTAACTTCTGAACTTGTCAGATTTGCACGTATGTTCCCATACCACCAGGATAAATATTGTGTAAGATCAACCTTCACCCTGTTCCATCTGTATCACAGGACTCAGACAGGAAATAGCTGTCAATTTACCGTTGACAATCAACAACACCATGCTTTCCAAGTATAATGATAGACTCTCCCTAGGCATCTTAATAAAAAGAAAAAAAAGAGTAAAAAAATAAAAATAACAAAAAACGACACCTAAAAAAACCTGATCATCCATTATCAAGAGAAAAAAAACACACCATTCACTCAGAGTGGATTCAGAGACCACTGTGCTCATGTGACAGCTCACCAGTGCCCAAGAAAGTGGGGATGAACTTCGGTTTGAGGTTGCAAAAAAGCAATTGATAGCTAGCTTATGTTACATGTTATTGGACAGGGACTTGCAGACAGAAAATGTGTGATAAGGGATTTTCATAAATGAAAAACCCCACCAGCTATTCAGGATTACTGATTCAAAAAAAATAAAAGAAAAAAACTTGAACTGTGAGTAATTTGAATGTGGCAACCTGAAGGTACTGCCTCTAGAGAGGTCTCACCAGAACCTCTATCATCTTGCTCTTGCCCAATTCCCAAACATTTGCTGCAAAGAAGCTAATAAATTAAGGAAAATGAAACAGAAAAAGGTGAGTGAGAAATTGACTATATTTATTTGACTAAATTTGACTAAAACTAATAGTAAGCACAGTGCAGATATCAAGAGGTCAGTCTAAAACCCAAGAGTTATGAAGAAACTAAGTGTGATAAGTGGTTCCTGGCTAGTGCTGGCCTAGTCACAGAGATCAAACATATTCATAACTTTCAGAGGATGGGGAGAATACTATACCAGTGGAAAACTGTGATGTGAAGTATTTTTCTGAAAAAAGCAGTATTATTTAAAACCCCCTGTATTTTAAAGGTTTTGCTTAAAACTTATGGATTTCTTTTCCAGATCACAACATTTTGGATTCATTTATTTTATAATAAAACATTACCTGGATGGGCCCACAAGAGAGACTGTTGCATAAGGGTCACAATTCTGTCCATTTATAAGAGGCAATCCATGGCATTCCTTTATGCTAAAAATTAAAATGCAAAGAGCAGATCAATTTATTTGGTTTTAAAAAAATAAAAACATAATCAATCCTTTCTTTTTTAAAACATTTCTAAAGTCCTCTCCTATTAGTATAAACTTTGAGGTAGATTTCTTTATCTGTAAGATTTCTTAATCTGTAACTACAGATTTCTTTATGATAACACAAGGCAATACTCAGGCATACAGTCAGACTTCAGAAGCTTTGTGTGGAAAAAAATCTTGGAATTGCTTCAAACAAAAACATTCCAGTATCACACATGCATGACAAAATACTAAGTAAAATGATCCCCCATGTTAGGGGAAAGTGCAACCTACATTAATTTTTAAATCTGATTTCTCAAGGCCCACAAAAAGCTACAGGGCCTCATCCATGATGGCAGCAACTACATTTGGAATGCTTTAAAATGGGTTTGAATGTTTTGTTTCAGCTAAACGAGGTTCTGAGTTGAGTATGCAGTCATATCCTGAAATATTATTTAAAATTAAACATCCAAAGCTATTAGTGTATAGCCCTAGCGTGTCTTGGTTCCTTCCATGCTGTTCAGCCACAGAAGGAAAGAACAGTTTATCCTTAAATATAGTTCCAAAGGTAACATCCAAACTCTCTTCACGGTAGCATATGATCACAGTTAAAATGCCCTTTTAAAAACATAGCATATAGCATACAGCTATATATATATATATATATATATATATATATACACATACACATAAATAAAGCATACAGCAAGCTGTAAACTGATGATTAGTAAGTACAGAGCTATGCTGTCCATCACTTCTGATGCAAAGGGGACAGGATGATTTTAAAGTAATGCTCATGGGAATACAAACACTTGTTCTGGATCCTTTCTGAAGGCTAGCAATTTCTGAATCGCCATGGCAGCAACACTAGTAGCAGCAAAGCTGGGCCTGCAAGCCAGTTAACCTTCGGATGCTGCCCAAATGTATTAACTATAAACAGCTGCAACAACGGAAGTAAAGCAAAGCAGTGTGTAAACTTATAGCAGAAACAAACTTCCTAGCAAAATGGTGCAGTCATGCATATTTTAATATTTATTAAGTCCAGAAACATTTAATGGATTACAAAATTTCATAAGCAGTTAAGACACAGAGAAGATCCAAATGTTACATTTGCTCTCTCTTTAAGTATTTATTTTTAAATAACATATGGCCAGAATTTAACTGAAGCAACACAAGTAGGTTCTGTTTGCCATAATCTGTTTTACTAAAAAACAGAATCTAGGTAACTTACAAAGAAATTAAACATTTTTTTTTCTGCTCTAAGTTGACACAAATAATCAAATACATGTTCTAAATACTGTTACGTGGAGTTTTATGTTGTGCAATAGTTTGTAACACAGCTGAGAGCCAATGAAGTTTAAGAAAGTTGCATAGCAGCAACAGTAGTTATATACTGCTAAGTAAACGCCTTCTGTATGTAAGAAAACAAAGTTAGAAAACCAGCAAGGGTTGCAAACTCCCTCCCAAGCTGGGAAATAACAGATATTAACACTCCTGTGCTGTCTCAGAACTCCACCCTCTTTGGAGCATGCACTATTACAAACCAGATGCTATTTTCCTCAAACAAGTCCCTTTGTGTAAGCCAGTTCAGGGAACATTTAGTGCTGAGCCACCACACAATCATTTGTTATTTTTCTTCCAGTTTTTAAGCATGTGGCCTTCAGCATTTCAGTAATTTTTGAATCACAATGAATCCTACACTGATTACAAGCCCACCATTTAAACGGGTTCTTGAAACATCCAGTTGTTTCCTAAGCATTAATTGATTCCTCCTCCAACACATACATGACATAGAAGAGTGGTGACAAAATTAAACCGTCTAGACTCCAGTCATTTGAGATAGCTGATTCGAGATCAATACTTGATCTAGGACTAGGACTTAATCTTTCCAACTATTAGGCATTTTGTAATACTAAACTTAGTATTTTTGTAGCTCCCAGAGATACCTCATGGTACTCGCACCTGAAACTGAGCAAGTCCGCCTCAGCTTGACTCTCAGAGGAAATCAACAGCAGGTGGCTCAAGTCAAATGTATCTGGACAGAATTCAACTATTTCAACAACAACAATTTCTCTTCATACAGCCTCACATTAACCAAACTCATGGATTGCTTTAGCAAATGGACTTCGGCAGCTATAGAAAGTAGCTTTCACTACATAAAAAGTTTCTACGTGATCACTATGTGGTCTGCATTTGGATTTCCAGCAAGCTGGAAAACATTTTTCTGACAACTGCACAGCCCTGCAGCAGAACTAGTATCTCCACATTCATCACGCAGATCTGTCGCTTCAAGCTAATTTCATATTCCAGCCAGTCTCCTTGTGTAGGCAGGCAGATCCAGACTTCCCCTGTCTCCTCCTGCCCAAGTCCCAGCTCTGTTGTAAGCAAGATCTAGCTAGCTTACACAGCCTACCCTGTTTTAACAGCTCAAGAAACAAAACTCCACCCCAGTCCCCTGTCAACTTCTAGTATTCCCAAACCTCTGGTCTTCAAACCAACAGGCTCGGGTATTTGTTTCAAAATTTATCTGACCTCCTCTCCTTCCAACCCTAAGTTGGCCAGTCACAACCATCCCTGCATTTGCCAGTCACAGTCTCGAGTCTGCTTTGGACACGGTATTTGACAGTACCGTTAAGTCAGCCAAACTGCACCAAAATGGATGGTCCTCGTACTTCTCTTACTCCTGCCTTGCTCCTGTCACCAATGATGAGTTCATTTGCTAATCTTACAGAAAGCTACTTGGGTTTTGATACAGTTTCAGTCAGGTTCGCAACCTAAATTAACCCAGTCATGCAAGAGAGCTCAGAAGCCTCACAAGGTGGTGCAAGGCAAGCAGACACCAAGGGTAGGAAGCCATTACACCAGCTCAGCAGGACCACCCTGGATTCTTACTCCCTAGGGGCTGAATACAGATGACTGAATTATTGCAGGTATTTTTAAAGTTACTAAACAAACAGTATCCAAACACATTCAGATTTGAAGAAGCTCACAGTAGGCTCGACAGAAGCAGGAAGGTGCAAACCCCATGAGCTTATCAGCTAGCAAATATCGTAACACCTTTACGTACCTAAGGAACCAGCTAGCAAATCTCATGTATATACTACCTTTCCCTAAACAATCAGACACCAGCATGCTAGAACTGCAACCTTATAGGACAGAAAAAGACGACTTTGACCAATCAAGTAAGAAAATAACAGTAAATATGCATTCCTCTTCTGATTACCATAATAAATCTTTCCAACATATGGCAAACATTTCAGCACTGACAAATGCTTTTGGCCATCTAGGCTGGCACAAGCAATTTTAATTTGAAAGCCAGAAACCCTTAGTTTGACAAAGTAGACAGGAACATTAAAGCCTTTCATTTTATCCTTTAAACTATATGTTGATGTAGTCTAAGCAATAGCTAACAGAGACTGACAGTTACAATATCATGTAGAGATCTTTCAGTTTACATGAATTCTTGCTCCAAATCTCGGTAGTTTGGTATGTAAGAGGAGTTTTCTACAGGAAATATAAACCTTTCAGACACTAATTGGTACATATTCAGCTCTTAAGACTGAAGTCCTTAAGGAAGAAACAGCCCTCAATAAATCCCCTCAATAACAAGAGGAACTCTGTACCTCTGCAATTCAAATTGACTAAAGTCCTCTAAGTGCAGAAACTAAGTAAGCATATGATATTGTTTCTTTCAGAGTTGAAGTCATCCTAAATGCAGAGAAGGAAAGCACTACCATCCTAGAGCTTAGTTTGGCACAAAAGCATTCAAGCACCATCTGTCGCAGCAGGCACAAATATGCAAACAGTGGTCACACAAACTTGTTTTTCTACAGACTCCCAGAAAGGAGAGCTGCAAACATGTATTTTTGAAATGTGCTACTATACATGCCATTGTGGTTTTGAAAAAAGAGCCCGCATTGAGTCAGCAGGTAATCTATTGCGTTATCTTTTTCCCCTCCTCATTCACACATTAGAAAAGGAAACAACTACAGCCAGAGACAAAACAAAATTTTAATTCAGAAATGGTCTGTGGGTGTATTCGTGCGACATTTAACAGCAAGTTTCCAATCAACACAAAAATGTGTAAATTTAGGTTTTAGCCCACACTTAGTAGTCCCTAAAACAGCCTTTCACCAGAGTAGGAGAACTTTATCCTTTATTTCAATATGCCAACTTCATTGATGTGGGACAATTTCAAGTCTTAATTTGAACTTATCCAGGTAAGAATGCATGTCAACATCGTGTTTTTAGAACACTTTAACAAGCCCTAGACGGCTTCTGAAACTCCCACCTTCAGAGAATTGGCCATCATTTGTTTTTCCTCCCTGATATCAAGTAAGACCAGATTAGTCACTTGTGTATCTTGTATAAGATCACTGTGTGTCTACTTGAACAAAGGCTGCAAACTTCCAGTTTTTAAGGATTTTTTTTTTTTGGTTGACTGTTATCCACAGCTTTGCTGATACTGCAAACTGTAGTCTAAGATATTAATACTTATCCTTCCCCAAGCATTCTTCCCTTACATAACATCAAGGAAGATCCTACCAAGGATAAAAATCACACAAAAAAACTAGAAGGTGGGGGAGGTAGAACACAAAAAGAATGAGATATTCCTGGTACAACAACTGACCATCCCTTCCTCATATGTAGGATCACTTACCTTTCTAAAGACACATTGCTTTCCCAACAGCTTCTTGTTCCGAAAAGGTTTTAGTATACATACTAGCATGAAAAATTAAGCCTTCTTCCTTCCTGCCTTAGTTGTAAGAGGCTAACACCTTCAGCAGTTGTCAATACTCTTAGCTTTTAAAAAATGCTTCCTGCTGGAATCACATTCCATTTTTAAATCATCATGTAACCCATTCAGAAGACCAGCAAAAATAAATAAATAAATAAAGCTTCTACAAACATGTCTACAGAACAAAAATAATAAGAATCCATCTTCTAGTCAGGTCTAACCCAATCACTTTGGTTCAGCCACAAAAGGGTGACCAGTGGAACTCCAGATAATGATCAGAACCACAGCCCTTTAATTACTTGCTACTGTCTGTGTGCTTAACATGATCTTAACATGATCTGAACTATTTTTCATCTTTGTAGAACTTCTGTACTCCCAGGGAATACATGGTGGAAGTCTATTAGAAATTTTCCTATGCAAGAAGCCAGCACAAGTGGTAAGAATGCTCTTATTCAACAAAAAAAATATATAACTGGCGAATGTTTAAAGCTCCCCCATCTTATTACATGTTGAAATGAATAGCCTCTCAGTGCAGTAGAACATGGCTCTAAAAAGCACGTAGTATAGCCCATACTTTAAGAATTACTGTTTCTGCTATTTGTTTTTTATTTTCCTTTGGCCAATAACTTGCTCATAGATTTAGACAGAGCAACAAGAGGTAGGAAGAGAATTATATCTATGTCTATCTATCTACCTATATGACTCCTCTTTTTTATTCAAACTCATAGCTCTGCTACTTGTTATTTTTCAGCTTTGTTAAAGGACTTACTAATACAATAACTTCTCAGGGCCTGGTGCCTGATGAAATATACGTATAATTATTTACCCTCTGAAATTTAGAAAATAAACAGACCTTTAAAAAGCTAATGTGTTCTAATAAAGAATCTCCTTTGTTTTCTATAAGTTCCTCCCAGTTCTTTAAGACCAAGCATCTTAAAAATGCTTTCACATCCATTCCCATAAAACTACATCCAGCAAGAGATTTATTTTTAATTCTCTCATATGTACATCCAGAATATATTTCTGTACAATATATTTCAAATAAAGCAAGCTGTCTTAAGACTATCAAAATGTCTATCAAAATACTATTTTTTTTTATTTTTTTTTTAGCTGCAGGAACTCCTGTTCATTTCATAATCTCAGATGCAAACAAAAGTGCTGATGTAACACTGCAGTGTCTAACGCACAATCTTCTCCCATATGCCAGTGAGTGGGTGAGTACAGCAACCACAAGAGTGCCCTGGCTTCCTTTTGATCATTTATCTCCGTCATAAAGGGATTCTAAGAGAGGGCATGGTGAGTAACCCACTTCCTACTCAAAACTGCAATCTAAAAGAGTAACTTTCTAAAACAACTTTTCTTCATCATACCAAAAATCAAAATGAAAAAATAATTAGTTTAACTTAGAGTGCATGGGTATACAAAAATTAAATAACAAATTTGACATCTACAACAAAGCTAAGTTGGGAATAAAACAGCTTATAAAACTCCAGCTAGCTTTTTGGTGGTGAATGGTCCATGAAGAGAAAGCTGTTCTAGTCCTGCCTTGTGCTGCAAGAGGGATACGAAAATACAAGCAGCAAGACATCTTGATACTCCAAGCTGCCACCTACCACACAAGTAAAAGCCCATTCAGAATTATCTTTAAGTTAAAAATAAACATCTACATACAACAAGTTTCCACATCTTAACTGAATTATCAGCCTACAATAGCTGTTAAACATTACCAGTTTCTCTGCCTGAGCTGCATTACCTAACTAGCTTCCTTTTTCATGCTAAGTAACAGAAGAGCGAAGGATTATTTTGCTAGGTCTTGCTCCAACTAAATTACTCATCTTAGCCTAGACGGTAATTCAGAAAGAAGACGACTTAAACTTTATAATGAAAATGCCATTAGCAAACTTGACAGTGCAATGGTCTGCCCAGCCCCCAGAACGGATCTGAGTGCAAAGCCGCGGAGACAAACGGAAGACCACACACCACTTCCTCCCCCTCGCAGTTTCGCAATACAACCATTCTTTAATGCTGAATTCTCAGACAGAGAAGCTTTAACAACATAAATTAAACTCACTCTCTGAATAATTAGATAAGTTAATGAACGATGCTGAAAAACAAGATCAAAAAGAATCTGACTACCTTCTGAGTTTTTTCATCTTAACCATCCTGTAGTTTTTATAACCCCCTTGTCTGTACCTTGTCTTCACAGGGCCTATCCCACAGCCTGTTAGGAGACAAGTGCAGAAAAGTCTTGTTTCTTTCTAAAGCACTAACAGAATGCAGAACTACTTTTTGAAATTCTAGCTTGTTCCCTTGAACCTTCCCTATGCTGAGAACATAAAGAAGAGCTGAAAGAAAATGCTGGTGATCCCAGTGTCTGCCAGTCCCTGGTTTCCACCAGACTTTTCAACTACAGGAACCAGCTTGCCAGAAGCAACACAGAAGGCTGTCAGACTTCTTCCAAAATGAGGACTAGTTTCTTGAGAGACCAGTATCTTAAAGTATATCCTTATCAGAAATACTTTTTGAGCATCAAAACATTGTATAGCTGTATTTGTATTGGCTTCTTACCAATTTCTAGCATTAAATGTATTGTTTAATGGCAAATAACAAGAAATGGAATTATCACTACATGTGGAATTTTAGTTTTCTGTGAAAAAAGTCTGTAACCTGTACATTCAGACTCCAGAAGTTATTAAACACAGCTCTAAAAGTAACAATGAAACTGCAGATTAGTTAGTGTTTTCTAGTATATATCATTTTGTGCTTTTTCTTTAATAATGGTAACATTTGCCTGGTATCCTCTACCAATTTTGAAATCACATACACCAAAAAAAATATTATTTCTATGATGTTCTTTAGCATGCTGTAACGTCTTTACACTTTGTGTCCAAAATTAAGTTTGATAGTGAGAAGTCTGAGTGGTTGCTAATACATTTTACTGACATGTGGCAATGTTGTGCTTCCCCAAAAAGGCAACTCCGTCACTTTGTTTTTCTATAAATACTGCTTACCATGGTTAACCATGAGAAAGTCATTCTGAAGCAAATCTAGAGGTAGATTTTCACATACCAAAACAAAATACTACTACTCTTCCCCCCAACAAAGTAGGCTCCAAGAAAAAAGCCACATAAAAAAGAAAGACGTTACTGGTACCAGGACATGCAGACATTCAGTACTGAAAAGGACAAATCATATTATGCTTTAAGAGACAACTCAATATTTAAGGATTAATGTATTTTCTTACTGTACTACTAGTTGCTGGCACACAGATCCATTATCTGTTATCAGCTCGTTCAGTTTTAATTCAAGGTGAACTTTTCCCTGGAAAAAAAAAGAGAAGAAAAACACCAATAGTTTTAAAAGACTTTATTTTAATAGTAATTAGAACAATAACATGGTTCATAGTTAAAAATCACTTAAAACAAAACACTTAGCTATCCTAAAGCATATATCCTGTGACTATATTTGAACTCAGAGATACAATGATTAATAGATGCATTACCATCCTCAACAGCAGACAGAACACAAATTGCGTCAAGCCTCCACAGATCTAACATACAAAAAAAACAAAAACATTTCTTCCCACATGAGGAAGTACCAAGAGCAGAAGTCCCTCTCAGCTTTTTTGCCCCACGCACGGGATGAACCCCTGAACTAATGAAGGGTAGATTTAAGAGCATTTTGGGTAAAAGTTCTAAAGTGACCTTAGAATCTCAAGCAGCCAGGTATATTTAGAAAAGTAGACTAGTAGCTGGTAATAGTAATTACCAATATATGTTAGCCACAGCCAGTAATCTTTAGTATACATCTGTGAAATACAGTCCAGTCAGGCTATCCTCTAGAAATCCTAGCAAATTCCAGCACAGCTTTAAGCTGGTTTTCTCCTTTTCTTCTTCTGAGATGTCAGGTGATGTTTGGCAGTTACGAAGATGTATTAAGAAAAAACAAAAACAAATAATGGCACCATATGGATTAGTATACACCTTTCTTAGTACGATAAAAATTTGGTATTATAAATTTTGCTCCAAACATCTGCTGCCTTGACAATATTGCTACTCCTTTTACTGCTTGAGTGTTTGTGCTGGCTTTCACATCCATGAGGTAAGACCATGACACAGTCTTTCCTGTGTACCATGATCTCCTTAGTACACCTGGGATTCAACCACTTGCTAACATCAGAAGACTCTGGTCTGTCCATGATCACGATTCCTGTTCAACAGAACAATGAATTTGACAAGAGTCAGAGAAGTGATCTGAAAGATAATTTTGAAGTATTTTGAAGGAAGCAAGCTATAATTCTAATTACAGTTTTGCTGCTACAATAGTAAAATGGAAATAAAACCCCTAGCTGACCTTGCACACATTTCTAAACCACGTACGTTTTGGCATAAAACTGAAGTGTTATTATTGTAAATCCCCTGGGGCAAAGGCTGTATTTCTCTCTGTACGTCACATGGGAGGAGAAGTGAAGTTTCTTTTAAAAGGAAGTCTTAAACGTAACTATTTTGGGATTCCTGCCAAGTGTTTTGAAAACTTACTACATGCATTGGAACACAGGTACATTAAAAAAATATTTGTCAAGCAGAGAAACTCAATTAAAAAAAATAGATTTATCGGATAAAAACAGTATACTGAGAAGATCACCAACAGCCTTACACAGCGAAGTTTTTGAATGACAAGCAAAAAGGCAGCCTTGTTAGTATTTATGGTAACAACTAGCCTGACTACTAGTACGCAGACCTTGTGAATGCCTTAAGTGTCTTCTGTGCTCTTCTTTAAAAACAAACAAGAAAAGCCAAAGGCCAAAAAACAAGAACAAAAACAACTCACAAATCAAGTGTTTTGCACAAAGTAGAAATATAATAGAAAGTTTTCTGCTCTTGGAAACATTATTTGTAACTGTAGTTGCTTCAAAAGTCAGCACCACAACAGCTACAGTAAAATGGCTGTATCTTTGTGATTACTTCCCTGACGAGTATGGAGAATATCAAGTACATTTTTGTTTTGTCTACAGAGAGCAGCATGATGGTTTGCTAAATTAGCTGATCTGCAGATTTATATCAGAGCTTTCGACATAGTATGCAACTGGGTTTTAAGTGGGGTTATAGAGATTTGTTTTAGACTGAAATGCAGACAAATGATCGATTCTTATACAATAAGAAGCACACAAAAAGGCATGAAATGGGCTTTTCACCTGTCAAACTCTGTGCTGTATAAAGGCAAAGTGGTTCCATTTTAATTTTACAAATAGATTGACACTTACCTTTCCTGATACTGCCTAGAGGAAGATAGAGCTGTTAGTTGTTTCTAAAATTCAGAACCACAAAAACACTTGATTTGCACAGTTGTTTTTTTCTTTTTAATATTTAGATCATTTCCACATTACAAAATATTACAAGTATCTATACTAAATTAAAGTTTTCTAAAGCTCTTAAATGGAAACTGGGCTGGCAAATGTACTTTAAATACATATGTCAAAAGACAGTCATGCACTATGCCCACATTTCACATATGGGATCACACTACTGTTTTAAGTGTACCACAAAATGTTTTTTGACAGTGTTGTTTTTCCTTCATAAAACCTTCTCTCCTTTAAATTTAAGGGATGGAAATGCATGCTTTTATTGTCTAAAAGGTAGGCTACAACTATATTTAACCTACACATTCTCAGTAACTCACATTCCCAGTTAGTAATGTTAGAAACGCTAGGAGTTATTCTCCAATTCCTCCCTCAATATCAGAAACTCTAGATTGCAGTATTTCTCTTGAACTCTGTCCTACTCTTTCCACTTCCCCTAACTCGATGGAAAAAGAAAAACATCACAAATGAATTGCTGAATTTGTAGGAACACGAAAATCATCTTTATGTCATACAAATTACACTAACATCTCAAAAGAAATTTTCTATGCCAGAAGCTAGAGAGCTTTTGTGTGAAAGGAAAAAAAAAAAAAAAGCTGAACAAAAGTTCACTAACACAGCCCAGGTTATCCACTCAGATCATCTTTAGTAAACTGAAGTCCTCACAACACATGCCAAGTAAAAGTGCTCCGAAATACTCCACAAATTACGTGCCAGTCCCACATTTAGCATGATAGGCAATAGTTAATTCTGTGAGCTTACTGCACAAACCTCTCTACCTACCAGATACAGGTTCTGTCAGCTTCCATTTGGCTTCTTTCCAGCTTTCTCATTTTAAGTTAGAGCAAACATATGCCCTGTTTCTGCAATGCGCCACATCTTGCGGCCTTCCACTCTGAGCATTGTACACTGGCCCACAGCTCTGTAGTCTTAAAAAAAATCTATTCCACTCGGATCATCCCGAGGTTTACTCTACCCCGACATACCTTCTTTCCTAAGTTTACAGATCTGAGCCATTATGAACCCACAAGCTGGACTGAAGCTCAATCTCCATTTTTCCAAACAAACCTATGCATTCTACAGGAAGGCCAGGGGAGTCTACTGGAATTACAGTAGTACAGTAATTGTAAAACCTATCAACGTTAAGAAAGAAAACAGCAAACAAAAGTTATCTTCAAAAACCTTAGAAGTGTGTGAAAGATTTTGACCTTATATATTTTACAAACATTAGATCAAATCTTTACAAGATTTTTCACTCTCATTACAAGTAACGGAACAGATTGAGGGCATGTTTAACAATATGACCTCGTTTCAAACCAGCTATGTGAAGACCAACAAAACAAAACAAGGCAAACATGCATTTTAGAAAATTTAAATCATTATTTGGGTTTTGCTAGGAAGTTTGCACCAGCTGCAGTTGAACACATACTGCTCCACACAGCTTTTCAAATACTTGATTTGCTTAGCATTCCCTCATTCATGTATACTTTTTATACGCAAGAACTAGTGGACAAAACAGGAAGTTTTAACAAAATTAATATCCATTCATATTATTGTTACCAGCAGCAAAACCACCAACGACAAAAAAAAAAGCTAAGAACAAAAAACAACAGATGCTTACTAAACATTAAAGAGAAGTAATTTTTAATACACTTTCAATGGCCATGGAAAGGCTGCCTCCCTCCCCCCATACAAAGTGAAGAAATAATGTACAACCTTGTTAAAAGAACAAATTTTTAGCTTGAGGTTAACTTTGCTATAAAGAGCTCCCTCTTTGTATCTGTCTCTTTATATTACTATATCTGTAATATCTGGTCTACAACATTTTTACATCAGTATAACTACACCAGATGCAGTTATATCTACTAGAACAGTTACCACAGATTACCCGGAGAAGCTGTGGATGCCCTGTCCCTGTGCTTAAAGCCAGGCTGGATGGGGCTTTGGGCAACCTGGGCTGGTGGGAGGCATTCCTGTCCATGGCAAGGGGTTGGAACTGGATGACCTTTAAGGTCCCTTTCAACCCAAATCATTCTATGACAATATACAGTTGTTTATTTGTCAGTTTAATACAACTGGACCACGTTATTTAGTTCAGGTTGTTCAGCAAGGCAGCTTAAGTGGCATACTTTCATGCATCAGCAAAAGCTGTACAGCATAGCAAAAAATCATCTTGATAAGGTTGATTAAAACAACAGTAAGGCAGCTGACAGCAATATCAACTCATTTAGCAGTATCTGTGATCTCTATTTTGGGAAGGAAAAGACAGCAAAACAGAGTGGAAAAAAAAAAAAAACTTGTGCAAAAATAAGTTAAAACAAACAAATGGATAGTGGAGTTTTTTTTATAAACCAAGACCATGTTTGAACTCAAGCATATGGTACTTTTACTTTGCTGAACTTTTAATCACCTCCACTTCAGATTACCAGTGTTAGTACAGAGCTATGGTACCAAACTGGAAGATGGGTCTACACCTTCTGTGATAAGACTGCCTTGTGATCCTAGAAGTCCTAAGTTTATTACAATTAAGGCAGTATTATGGAATGACTGATCTGTAAATCCTCCATCTCCTCCACCCCTACTTTATTTTTACTTTGTAGGAGTCAGCAAGTTTAATTCTTGAGAATTCCAGAAATGATATCCAAGGTTTAGGTAAATCCGAAAGAAAAAAAAAAAAAGACTGCAGTGGCTATCTTAGCAACATGGCTAATAGATTCTCAAGAATACTGTTCTGTTTTCTTCTTCAACCAAACACAGAGTAGCTACAACTTCTAGAGTCACCTAATTTTAAAGTATCACTAGTATAATCCTGCCTGAAAGACTTGAAACACAGACAAAATTCAGCTCTGAAGTACAACTTACTTGTTGCAGGAAAGTATTGTGGAAAGTTGTTATGTGGAAAGTATTTCAAAATAAAATAAATGTATGAGCACAGCACAACAAGTAACTCCCATTTTGGAGATGTTACCATTTCATGTTACATAATCATTTCAGCTTGTAACACAAAACTGAATTAAAAAAAATGACTCCACAGTTTCCTAAACCATTCACCTTTCTCAAGCACGTGGCTCTTCTTGCACCGAACGTTTTTGGCATCAAAATACTGTTAGACATTTCCCAAACAGCTGCTGCTTTTACCAGTTTTTAAGAGTATCATGAATAACAATACAGCCAACTTAGAAATATCGAATATGCATTACTTTTTAATCAAGCTGAAAGACAAAACTGACTCATAAGAATTACACAGATGCTAGCCCCTGTCTGTCACAGTTGAATAAAATCTTCTACCATTACATATACTTATCTATATTTAATTTTTTAAAAAATATAGATGTGCAATTTAATATTTACCTGAACCTCTGAATTAGAATCAACAGGTTGAAGCATAAACCAGTTCTCTTTCCCTGTATAGTTACATAAGTCTTCTTTTTTGATTGCCACCTTTCCTGGGGAAGGAGACAGGAAGAGAAAAACATAAATACCACTTTCATCTCAATAGGACTGACTTTTTTTTATTTTTTTATTATTATTTTTTTTAAGCTAGTGATGCTATATGAAAAGCTCATGGAAACAAGGAACATGAAGCAAACTGAAGCAGATGCAGTAGAATAGTGAATGAGTTTACACAAAACCAATTCAGCTCCTTATGATGTGTTATCTTGGATATTACTAATAACAAGATTAAGTGAAATAAAGAACACACTTGTGGCTGGAAATAACACAATACGGATCTGAGTGAACAGTAATGGCGTTGAAGAATGTTTAAATAGGAAATTGAAGGTAGACACCTTCTGCTCTTCTGATTGCTATTTGGAAAGCTGTTATACCAAATTACCTGGCATCCTGGTGCAAATGACTTCCTTCCTCAATTCAAGTAACATGAAGCCTACATCCACAGTAGACTCTTAAGAGCTTTATAGCAACTATATCCAAATAGCAGCTGCACTAGAGCCATTAGACAGTCAAAATAATCCACCTCCTGTAATTTTTCTTTTACACTATGTAAAGGATTTTGCGGCAACTTTTAAGTCACTAGGTTTACATGTTGTCCTGGCAGAGAAAAAAAGTTGATGTGTATAGTTTTAACAAGTATTCAACGATTGCAAAACCAGTTCATTCTCATCTTCTCATCTACAAATAGTGACAACTGCTCAAATATTCCACTAGAATAGAGTTGGAGAAAAAAAAAAACAAACACAAAAACTATTCAGAAAATGTAGTAAGACCATAAAATATCCCATTAGCCCAAAAAATAAACATATTTTAGTATAATAAAACATAGAAACAAAATCCTGCTTTTCAAACTTGAGATATTTAAGCATAGTATGCACTTACAAATCAGTTTAATTGTATCCATGAAACTACTGATATTGAAAACAACCAAACATTATGCAAAATGTAGACAGTATCCCAGAACTTACCTATACGCAGGTCTTTTTGTAAAACACTCTTATCATAAATGTAGAAGGACAACCACTGGAATGTTCTCGGAATCTCAAAGTAAAACTCTTCCCCGAAATAAGGGCTGAAAAGAAAAACTGAAAGTTAAAATGCACTTTATATAATTTTTACAGTAGACGCTGAAGTGCTGTATTTATATATTTATTTATGTATTATGTATTTATATTGCAATCACAGAACTTGGCCTTTACCACCATGCTCATCTGTCAAAGCCACCCACAGTCATTTCATTCCAAAACATACACTAAGACTACAAGTTAAAACTCTGTAAGAGTGCTTTTTGTATGCTCATTTTTTTATATATAAAAGTTAGAGCACACACACAGACAGTGGTGTCTTTTCCGCAATTTCACTTCCTGTCTCAAAGTCATTCTAGTTGGTTCTCTACCCACCATCCTTAATTAAATGATTTCCTGAGACAATTTTTTTTTCTCATTCTGTATGCGGTTAAATAAAACAGTAAAACACAACTTATGAACTACTTCACTAACTGCCAGCATGTTTAGCTCTAACATCTGCATCAGATTTAATACTCAGAGATTCAGACCTGTAAAAAGAAGCCCTAAGCGTAAGAGAACAGTGAAAGAAATGTTCATCTCAAATCCTCACATTCTCCTGCATGCTGAAATGATCACTGCATTTCTCCACCCAGTGACGTCTAATATAACATTTTGAGTTTACCTTAAATAACTGCCATGCATGCTGTACCAATTAACAGCTAGAAGTATTAGCGGAGCATTCTAAAAAGACTCTGAGTTCCTTCGTATTACAGACACTTCACACAACATACTCGGTATCTTCACACTTGAGGTATGCATGCTTCCGTTAACTTAAGGTAAACTTATTGATCCAATGATAGTCAGCATTCAGAAGCTTGAATGTCAAAATAGTGAACAAAACCACAATGTTTTTGTCACTGCAAGTTGTGAAATCTGAAAATTAAATGCATTCACAAAAAAACTATTTCAAAACTACTGGATTCACACAGACTTAAAATATTTTCATTTACAACGCTGTATTATCACCACAAGGGAAAGGAACACAGCTTCATGAAAAAAATTTTAGCCTCTGCCTTCTTTCTACAGAAAACTACAGCAATGACAATTAGATCAACCTCAGAAATTAAGTTTTTTTTTTTGTCATTTTCTAGTAAAGTATCTTGCTGACACTGTATTGTTACAATACCTGTTTATTAAACCAGTACAAATAAGCCTGTGTTTGGAACCATTCATTCATGGTAGTTCCTATGCAGAAAAATACCAGGTCAAATCACAGCTACCTTCTTCCCTCCAAAATAATTAGAGAAAAGACACCAAATGCTCAAGGACCAGTATCTCATTAAAGAAATTCAAAATAAAGAAATAAGCTGGCAACCAATACAAAAAGTGGATGAAAACACAAGCACAAAAATCTAGTGCTCCAACTTCCTTGAACCTATTCTTAGAATCAATAGCTTCAACTCCAGGAATTCATTATAACACATTTCACAAGTGAAAACATTCGCCTTGTTCAAACACATAACTTTTACCATAGGCTTCAAAGCATACAAATCATTACTGGACTTTGCATTACACTGAGATATAACTTAAAAATTCTCAGCTGAAAACTCAATAGTTTTTCAGCTCCTCACTTGTCTTCCCCTTCTCATTTCAAACCCAAGAAATTTAACTTGTGAGAGCCAGGTTCTTCTTGTAGACAGCACCAGTAAAGGTATAAATTATTGAGCATTACCTTTATTTAGCAACAGTGCAGCCTTAAGCAGCCTCAACTTCCTTATTACCTTCATTGCTCATTTTAATTGTATCGACACAGTAACTCACCAGAAGATAAAAAAGTCTCACTTCCAATTTAGGTCAATTCTATGATGTGGCTCCCTGACTATTACACGAGTAATAGTTGCAGCAGTAAAAACAAAGATATTACAGTGGAAAGCGTGAACAGTGGGTGAACAAGCTGGCATGGTGTACAACTCAACAACCGCATATCACTAAGTTAAATGCTTATTCTTACCATATCTACACAACTGTATGTGTGCAATTACAATCAGATAATGATTCATTATTGTGGGATGGAGACTATTAGTACTGACTTCCAAAAACCTATTTACCAGCCATATCCTAAGGCTAAGAAGAATGAACTTCACAAATATATCAAAAAAAAAAAAAAAAGACCAGTTAATACCAATCATTATTTTGACCTCAATGTGAATTCTCAGATTTGCAAGAAAGAGCAAGTCAACAGTATGAACAGAATGTAAATCTTTTTTTTTTTTTTTTTAAATCACGTTGGAACATTTGTCCTTACCTAGAATACCACCCCTGCTGTATCAATCAGTTGTTAACTATTCTTTAGCAAAGCAAGAGATACAGAGCAAATTTAAGGTTTAGAATACAAAGGATTAGTAAAGAAATTCTAAGGTGTATATGAACTGGCTGAAGGGGTACAATAGGTTATACCAATGAGGAATAATTAAAACAGAGAACTTACTCTACCTGTTCCTCAGGGATTCAGTCAGTTTAGTACTTTCATTTGTGACTTTGATGCAAGAACTTTAAAGACTGTGACAGATACAAAATTAGAAGATAATGCTAATTCAAAGGAAGACCAGACTGTCATACAGGAAGAACTGGATGGCCTTTTGGATTACTGTAATACAGGAGATTAAACAAACGTATAATATTACTCATATGCTCTTCCCTTCCTTGTCATATTAAACCAGTAATTCACTGATGAAAACTGACCAATACACCTACATCTGTCTTTTGATAAAAGCAACAGTCGTATCCAGATATTAAATTCTTGCATTAACCTTGCATTTGCACAAAGTTTAATACAAAACAGTTTAAACAAAAAATGCAACACAAAGCACAACCTCTCCCTCCATATTTCTTTATATTTGACCATGGAAATTTGAGGAGGTTCAAACTTCTTTAAACTTTCAAGGGGAACAAAAAAAAACAAAAAACAATTTCTTCAAAACCCACAAATCTCTTATAACGTCAGGAGACATTTTTGAGTCGTTAGACAGGATATTCTTCTTTCAGTTCAGTATTAATCCTTGTATTTTTAGCTCTGAAAAGTCATTGGCTTCACATCTGCACTTCTAACAATCATCACAGTGCTGATGGAAGCCCAAACACATTTTCACTTTTTAAAAAAAAACAAAAAACAAAAAACAACACACATTTCTTAATTGGTTTTCAATAACTGGAACCAAAGGTCATTTTAATTCTATTGATAATTACTTCCACAGATGTATAACTAGCAGATATCTGTAGAATACAATCTGGATTATACCTTGTATAAAATCTGCAACCCAGAAAACAGTGACAAAAACAGACTGTGAACTACTTGTCTAAAAGACAGTAAATAATACAAAACAAACAATTATCGCTGTTATGACTAAAATTATACTGTACTACACCTTACTGAAAAGCAGTTATAAAGTTTGCAGGTTTTTAGATATCAAAGCTTTTGTCTTCCATTCCAGTACCTCTAGGTTAGTACAGCGCTCTAGGTCAACACAGTAATAAGCAACGAGATGGTATAATTAAGTTTCTGCAACAAGCACCAGCCTTTAAAACCACATACGCACTACTAATACAAGAGTAAGCAGCCAATTCTTGTTGCTGTTACTACAGGATGATTTATTTTATTACATTTCATCAGTTTGTAGGAAACCTTACTCATGCTGTGGATCTAACTTCATGCAGATGTAATTCAGAGAATCAAAGAATTCCCCCTATGTAGCCAGGGAAGACAAAAATGCACCTCCAGGCAGAGAACACTGGCTCGTAACAAAACACTCTCAAAATATGTATATAAATTTCATATCACATGAAAATCATGAAAACTTCTCTGGTTGTTTAAGACACCCCAAAACTGTTATTTTCTTATAGTGAAATTTTTGTTCTTCCTCTATAAAGAACTAGTGGCAATATTCTCAATTAAGTTTCAGTTCAACTTCAGTACTATTAAAAATTAGGTTAATCTAAGGTGATTTATTTTGCCAATGTTTTACTGCATACTAAGTTTTACTGCATAGTCAGAAATTCTTTCTTCATGTGATTTAAGTGTATCCACTTAACTCTTAAAAAGGGATATTAGAGAGAAAAAGTCTGTATAAACATTAAATGTTACAGGTGTTGTTTCCAAGCGTAACATTAAACTTCTATGATCTTGATTATTAACATGTCAAAAATCTGACAGCAGAGTTTAAAAAACTGACTTCATTTAGGACATCAATTTGCACTTCCAGTTAAATTAATCAACTGCAATCAGGACCAAATATTTTGTTCACCCTCCTCATCTGTAACCACTGAGTCAATTTTTGTAATTTAACTGGTTGCATGTACGTACTGTTTACTATTCATGAAGAGGCATAAGGAGGCTTTAAAGTGGTGTTCTGAAAAAGTAAAACTCCCCACTTAACTTTCCTGTATGTCTGATGATCCTGACCCAGAAACACCTAGCACGATGGCTCAAAACAAACACTACCACAAAACCACTGGAAATCACAAGAATTGGGGGGAAAAAAAAAATAACAGTTTTAGCAGACTTTCTTAATTTTAAGAAGAAGGTTTAATGTCTCCTCAAAATAAACTAAACTGTCACTTGGATCTGCTGAGCAATGCAGCTGCAAAGATCCTCCAGTACGGGTCATCAGCAAACCTAAGTTTCAAGACTACTTCAGCAATTTTATCACAACTTTTTGGATTGTTTTTAAAGCTCTAAAACAATAGCAGAATCTACAGCTCAGGGAGGCAAAGCAAGCCATTCCGCCTGAGTACAAACTACAGTTCCAATAACAAGACTTTCAAGAGAGAATAAGGCCTATTCAGGGGCACATCCCACAGCAAACAAAACTTTAATAAATGAAAAGTTCAAGTTCATCCATTCTAGAAACAGGTTTTACAAGGCAGACACTGAAAGCAGAATTCCAGCAATACATACTGACTACATGTCAAAAGTACAAAATGACGGGGAAAGTAAGAGATCAAGCAGATCTCTTCCCCTTGAAAATAACCTGGCAAGAAAAATAATGTTATGCTGCCCAATGAAACAAAATACAGTAACAGCAAAATATGTTCTAGCATGTTTCATGTAAGTCCTGTACTACTCACAAGCCTCCACTTTGTTTTCTTCTCAACTACTCTCAAGATTTACACATTGCTGCAATGCTTCCAATTAGTGTCTACAAGTCAGCTCTCATTTTAAAGACATACAAGGACCACATGGACATGGACATGCATCTTGCTTTTATTCTGGACCAAGAATCACAGAATCGTCTAGTTTGGAAGAGATCTCAAGATCATCGAGTTCAACCTCTGACCTACACTAACAAGAAGTTCTTGATTACCATTTCCATGTAAAAATTAAGCTTACCTTGAAGATTTTTCAACTACCTGCGTACGAAAAACTTCTTCTTGGTCCAGGTTTATGGTACAGAAGAAGTCTCTCATTTTGTTGGGAACTAACTGTTTGGCATCATCTGTAAATAAATAAAAAAGAAGCCTAAGTACTGAGGGGAAAAAACAACAAAATATTACACAAAAGCTTCATAGTTTTAATGGATGCCTAAAGTTTACTCCCCCATTCAGTTAGCATGCATTTTGTTACTCACTTTCGACTTGTAAGCCCCACTATGCACCCCAAAATTTTGATATCCAGGTTTACATGGAAAGAGAGCCGACAGGAAGACGATGATGCACTGACTCATCAGCACCGCTTCCTGCAGCACCTGCACTTTCCCTTGAGGTCTCATCTCAGGCTTGACCCCGCATAGCTTGCTATGTCTGAGAGGCTCCCAGACCCAAAGGGATACGGCATTAGGTTGTATGGCAAAGGCATCACCTGGCTGAGCTACTCTTCTTCACTGTTTCCTCCATTAATGCTTTGGTTACAGGAAGCTGATGGGATAGATATAATCTTATTAATCTGCTCTTCATTTTTCACTTTTTTTTAGCTGCTTTTAAGTTGACCAATGTACTTTCAAAGGTTCATCTATGACTACTGTTTATTTTTTCCTAGACGTCTGGTCTGACAGAGAATGGGAAAAGTCATCTATTGACGAAGTGCACCACGTATAAAAACGACCAGAACAGGAAGTCTCTAACGGGGCGCGATGACTGCCAGCGCAGGAGCACAGGGAACTCCTGGGCAGTGAGTCTAGGCTGCTGCAGCAACACATGCAGGACACCACACAGCCCTTCATGAAATCGGTGCTTCTAATCGGTTACAGCTAAAAACAGTTCCCAACATTCAGGGTGCTCTTCCAGAATCCAAACGCTGCAGACACACACATTGCTTTATGGCAATACCATGCTTTAGCTTAAACAGTTACTTCCCCACTGCATTCCCTTCTTTGAAGACGATCATCAGTCCCTGTTGACCTCAGATTCTGCCCAAAGAGCCAAGCCAAGCATTTTTGGTCCCCTCTCTGAGGAAAGAGGCTCCTAATTGCTGAGTAGCTTCTGTCTGCACCATCATCACTTAAGTTATTATCTTAAATGCAAGCAACCAGAGTTGTGCTCTGGATTAGGCCTTAACTCTTGTGTCCTTATATCTCTACTGGAAATACCACCTCCCCTCCCCCCAATAAAACATGGAATCGAAATCATCCAAATTTTGTATAAAATTTATATAAATTTTATATAAGACCTCAGCTTGAAATTAGATTTCACATGTCACATATATGTCCCTTTAAAAAAAAAAAATCAGTTATGAAGCACACTGGAAAATAACCTTTGTTTTCTATGCTCTTAAGATGTAAAGTCAGAAATGTTTTGTCTTCTCTCTCTTTTTGCTTAATAGATTAGTGGCAGCCTTGAAATGTAACTAAGTGCTGCCTGGCACTGGAAATGCTGTATCTGAGCAGGGAACACGGTGGTTTCACCACCAGACTGAACTTCCTCCTTGATCTTTTCGAAGTCAGGAATACGTGCACCGATGGAAAACATGAACAGACAATTAAGTAACTTCCACGGTTAAAACCTCTGCTCTCAGAAGCATCAATGAGCTTTTCATCAACTTGGGTGTGGGAGAAGAGGAAGTATACGTATTATTTTTAAACGCCACACTTAACATTGACAGATTGAGACAAGTACAGAACCGGTTTCTAATGCCACTAGACTTTAAAAAGAAACTAAATTCAAAATGGCCCATGAGCGAGATATTAGGGGGGAAGCATGTGACTGAGTATCACCTTGAAAAAAAGTTGTTTTAATAAAACGTATGAACAAGAATACAAAAAAAGAAATCTCAAGGGTCTTGCAATCCCCAGAGCTTCAGATGCTGAAGTAATTAGTAAGCATGAACTGTACCCAACAGTTTTTTCTGATAAGCATCTTAGACTAAAACTAGTTAATACCCTGGAGCTTTACCATCCAATTTTCACATAAAAATATTTAAGAGATAACCTAACTTTTCTGGCACTGCAAAGCTACTGTATGGTGGACTTTGAAAGCAGATTACAAACACTGTAGTTTCACATTTTCTTAAAAGAACACAAATTAAACTGTAGGCAGTAAGGATGGTTAGTCAGAAATACCAAATAAAGTTGTTTTTTTTTTTTTTTTTTGGGGGGGGGGAGATAAAAAAAAGCATTTTTAACTTTGACTGTCAAACTGTATTTCGATCCTTTTCAGGGTGTCTATCATTTATAACCACGCAGCATGATAATTAAACTTACAGTTTAGGCGATCAAACAGCAGCAATAACAGAACAATTTGTTTTTTATTGATGTACCAACTCAGCAGTTTCAGTCAGCGGACTAATTTAAAACAATAATTATTTTCACATGACATATCTAGTAGCCTAATTCAACAGGGAAAGTATGGAATGCATCGCTAACATAATAAACATCAACCTTTTTATTCTGAAAATGTACAAGCTCACGATTACTATGGCTTACCTAACTTTTGAACCAACTTTTACTGTCTCTCAACCACTTACTTTGGGAAATCAGCAAAAAATATCTGTACTAAAAAAAACCTTGTGTCGATTATATATATTAGATTTCAAAATATTCATAAAATATTGTTTACAATATATACACAGGTGGTCTCTATACAACTCCATAGAGAAACTTTACTTCAAAGTAAGATGAGCTTAAACCTAAGCAAAAGGGAAAAACTGTGATGCTAATAAAAAGTTAAGTGCTAGAGCATAGAGCGATGGCAATGCAGACGTTAAGAAACTCCAACTCCCCATATTACAGGAACATTATGGGTTAGTAGTAACAGGAATGGAGCAACCTACTAAATTCCACAGTTCTGTCAAACTTCCTTGTCCTGCACATCATTTGTTAGATGCAGACAGAACATGAGAACATCAAGTTAAAGCTTGTTCGCCGTTAACACAATCAGAAACCCAGCAGGAGCAGGCGGTGGGATGGATACATGCTATATATTCACAATGCACTCTGTTGAGGGAAAACGCACTATTTGTGTACATCCTACAACAGGGACCCAAAATGAAGAACCTAAATAGGAGTTTATACACATGAAGTGCAACCTATCTATTTCGCGGGACCAAACGTTATATAGCAGCAATTAAAACCGCCATACGAGTGCAGCATAACCCGATGTATTCACACAGCGTTAACAATGCAGTGCTAGAAGTTTGAAACGCAATGTGTCCTGAGTTTTGTCAGATGAGTTCTGGGAGATGACAAATTAGCTATTTTCCATGTATCCCACTAAGGTTTTCCAAAAATGAAAGCAACTAAATCAATTACGACCTAAAAACCTACTACTACCTGGTATAAACTGAAGACAAAAGCTAGTTACACGACTAAGAATAACACGCTATAAAATATACCTCAAACTGCATAATACGCACAAACCTTGCAAAGTGCTTTTGTCACAACTCTGACACAAAATACAGCTGCCAATTCAAAAGAGTCATTAAAAGGAATGACTGTCCTGTGGATCCCCAATGGAAACTTGCTCAAGTTCAAAAAAAGCCCCATGGTCTTAAACTAGATCACATCTTCATGTTGTCTCTTACCTGAAAACCAGAGGGAGGAGACAGGCTGCAAACACAGGTATTCCACACAACATGGGGTGTCCCAGGGATTGCTAATGTGTTCCTATTCAGTTTTTCATTGTTGGGTATGTAATAGCTAATTAAGCCACTTTTAAGCACATGCCTCAGTTCTAAATCTGTTGTCACTGTCTGCATAACATCGCTAACTTTAGATTTTATCATCTACTTGCATGCTGTAGAACTGCGTAAATAAGAAGTTACCACAAATGTGTTTTCTATATACACATAACTGCCACTGCCTCCTGAAAATTGTGATCTCTTGTGCAATACATACATACAAAATGAATGTGTTATGTCTTCTCATAGCTTAAATGCCAACAAAACTCAGGCATTGAAAAATATTCTACTTGCAAAAAGCATATTATAAAAAGTTCTCATGGGCTATGAACACCAACTTCCCAAAGTGAAGTCTGCTACTGCTAATGCCTCCAGATCAAGAGGGATTATATTATTACATCTGTTTGTTATTGTTCATTCAGAGGGTTTTCACCCCAAAAGCACATTAGTAAGATACGAGCAAGAAGTGAAAATAAAGCAGCCTGTGCTAGGCAAAGAGGCCAACAGAAAAGCTAGGGATTTGAGGGTTTGCAAGCTTTCACAGCAAATTAACTCACATCTTTTTAAAAGTGCTTTTATTTTCCTGGAAAAAAAACAAGTAGCTTTACAAGTGATTCCTCACGCTGTTTCAGGAAACATCTTTTATTACTTCCACCCATCTTCCAAATTGGCCCTGCAGTTTTACAGGCCCATCTGTGGCAACCGACTTTGGATGTACGATAACCAGGTGATAACCTCTGCTTCACCATCACTTTTGCCAGGTACTCAAATGCGGTAACACTCAACGTTACAACGCAACAGGAGCGATGGAGAACACACTCACGGGACACTAAAACTGGCTTCAACAAAAGTCGTGAGAGATACAGGAGGTGCTTTTTAATATCTAATGCAAAGCTTGTGCTGGGCTCAAGTATCACCTGAAGTAAAGCCCCGTCAACCGCTGCGTTGCTAACTGCTGCAAAAGCCCTCGGACACAAGTCGGGCAGCAGAGCGGTGTCAGTAAATACACCAGCGCTGACTTTTCTTTAGACAAGCTGGCGTGCGTTAGCTCCGCGATAATTGCCAACAACACGGTCTCAGGAAGTGTGTGTTCAGTCTTGTCCGCTCGGTTCGCATTAACCCTCTGCAGCAAGCGCTGCAGCGCGCCCCGGTTCCCGTTTTCCTGGCCTAGTCACTCCTTCACTTCCCGCAGATAACCCCGAGCCTGCGCCGCGCTCCAGCAGCGCCTCCACCCCTCGGCTACACTGAAACCGGCCCCAAGCTCCTCGCACCTGGCTCCCCACCCCGGCACCGGCACGGCGCCGCGCCCGGCCCGTTTCGCTTCATTCTCAAAAAAGCTGACCGGCGGCGTGAGAAAGGAAGCGAGCGGGCTGCCCGGCTGGCTGCATGCACGCCGTGCCGAGCCGAGCCGAGCCGTGCCGAGCCGGCAGGAAGCCGCGCACATCCTGCTCCCCGAGCCCGCCGGGGCACCCGCCGCTGCCCGGGGCCGGGCGGATCGAGCCGGCGCTGCCCGGTGCAAAGCCGCCGGCCCCTCTCCCTGCCTTGCTCCGCCGAGGAACAGCAGCGTTAGCGGCCGCTCCGAGCGGCCTTCCCCCGCCGACTTCCTGCACATCGATACTTTCGCAACGCCCGCCTGGCAAACACGCCGAGACCCGCTGGGGGTCGGCAGGGACAGAGCGGGCGCGGCTGCCCGGCTCCACGATACCCCGGCACCGGGGGACGCGCCCCGGGCCCCGGCCCCCGCACCCCGCCAAGCCCCTTCCCCTCCTTCCTTCCTTCCCTTCCCTTCCCGCGGCTGCCCGCCGGCCGCAGCCCCGGGGAAGGCCAAAGCGAAGGCGCGGCGGCGGCCCCGCGGGACGGCCCCGGGCTGTGCGCAGCCGGCCCCGGCCGCACTTACAGATCTTGCCCCGGAGGTTCTGCAGCACCCGCACCTCGTCGCCGCCGCCGTCCTGGGCCGCCATCGCGCCAGCGCCGCCGCCTGCGCAGTGCGCGGCGGGGGAGGGGAAGGAGAGAAGGGAGGAGAGGGAGGGGAGGGGAAGGGAGGGAAGGGAAGGGAAGGAGGGAGCGGCCCCGCCGCACGCCCCCGGGCCGCTCCGCCCCGCTGGGGGCCGCCGCCACCGCCCTCGGGGGGTAGCCCGGCACCGGCACCTGGAGGGGGCCGTAGCCGTGAGGGGCGCGGGCCGCCCGCGCTAACGGCCGGGCACGGGGCGAGGCCGAGCCCCCGGGGGAGCGGCTGTGGGAGCCGCGGGGAGCCCGGCCGGCCCGGCCCGGCCCGGCCCTGCCCGCACCGCGAGCCCCGGCCCCCCGGGCGTGCCGGCGAAGTACAAATAAAGCGCGTTTGCCTTGCCCTCGCTGGGGAACGGAAAGGGCTTTTCGTCACGCTTTCGCTGGGATTTCCTGAGGAGGGATCCTAACGAGAAGCTCCGGGACCCGGCTGAGGGCTGGGACGAGCCCCGGTGGCGGTGGTGGGCGGCTTCGCCCCGGCCCCGCGGCCGCCCAGCCGCCAGGAGCGGCCCCAGCCCGGTGCAGCTCGGGGCGCTGCAGGTGCCGCAGCCTCCGGGCCCTGTGGGCGCGAGTCCTGGTGCAGCCCCGTAGCAGTCCTAAAACAGAGGTAGTTTAGTGGGGTAACGAGGGGAAAGTTGGGTTAGAAAGTAAGGTAGTAGAGGACGGGGGTTCTTCACCTCGGGCCCAGAAAGTCCTCCTCGGCCTGCTCCTGCCAAAGGGAGGTTTGGTAAGCGCCGAGCCAGCAGCTGGTGCTTGTCTCTGCCTGCAGCCCCCTGCCGTGGCTGCCCGAGCGAGCACTCCCCCCGCACAAATCTCGCCCTTATGGTCATTACCTGGCATGGAGCCCCACAGCCTGGCGGCCAGGCCATGCTCTGCCCCACTCCCTGGTGGCCTTTCCTGCAGCTGTCAGCGTCCCCCCCCGTCCCTGCTCTCTGCAATGAGACATCTTCAGAGGCGGCGGGATGGGCAGCAGGCTGCTTCGCCACACCAGGAGTGGGTGAATTTGTATGCATGCAAAGCGCAGGCCTGCACAAAGACACACGTTTGCATAGGGTGACTTCTACCTGCCAGAAGTGAGAGCTTGCCCTATAGCACAAATTGAGGGATTTGGTTATCTACAGTCGGTTTCCAGCAGACTGGCTGCCTTGTCCCACCCGTGGCTGGGGAGCTGAGGACAACCCTGTCAGAGCGAGTTTTGCTCTGAAACCTCTCTCGAGGTTCTCTCTGTGAACGCAGAGGTACCGTTACACTGTGTTGCAGCATTTTTTAAACTGGATCATGTAAAACTATTTTTTCCATAGCTCTCTCAAAATTTACGATGACAGTTGAAGTTTACTGTTTACCTTAATGTCACCTTCATCAGAACTTTTGAAATAGGAGGGAGAAATATATATTATGAGTAGCAAACATTATATGTTTTTGGTTAGTTATGCGACCCTGCTGAGGACCATCCCAAAATGCCCTGCACAACTTAGCTTAAATTTAACTTTCAATGCAAGTTACAGACCAGTGACACCTAGCTGAAGGGGGAAGTACTTTGAACATGCATTCTGTTTTGTATATACCTTTGTATTTCGTTATGCAATCAGGTATTTCCGTTCCTGAACTCTATCTTGGCAGTAGTCCCACAATATTTGAAGTACGGTGTGTAAAATACACAGTCTATACTGCAAGGTTACTGTCAGAATTTAAATAAGATTTTTTACATTTCTGGTCCTCATGAAAAAGTGTTTAAGGTGTTGCAAAGTCTTAAATGCAGTTCACCCATCTCCCAGTCCTTTAAGAGACACAGCAAGTTGATTATCTTCACCTTAGCACTGTGTTCACCCTTAATGGTATGATGCCAGGAGATACCATCACTCCCCTTGACCTCTGGCATGTTCTCAATTAACGGTTCTGACCTTAATGAAGGGAACAATTGGGAACTGTGTTGCTTAATCTTATAATGAAATGCACATTAGCAGATACATAATCGATATGATCCAGAAACATATAACATAACTTAAAAAATGGAGAGACTTGCAAAAAAATAGGAAGAGGTTATTTTAATCAAGCAAAAACAGTTATAATCACTCTTTCTAAAAATAAAATTAGACTCTTTATCAATCCTTAACATCTGCATTTAATATTTTCTTCTAAACAAAAATACAGATGCAGCAAATTACAGTCTTTGACAACGTACAGTATTTACCTTCTCTTACACGTATTTTAATTCTAATTTGGTCATTAATACTAGACTCATTACTGCAACGTGTTACTTGTAGTAAAAGTGCCACAATTGAACTATAAACATGACATTGCCATCTTAAAACTGCTTTGCTATAAATTGTAGAGAATATACAGTTACAAAGTCATTGTGTTTTTATCAAAATATACAAACCCCCCCAGACCTAACACAAGCTATCAATATTTTTCTTATGAACTATACAGTTATATAAAATATTTGTAAAATTATCTTTATATGTATAAATATTCTACCTTATTTGCTTTGGTCTATAATTATCATCATACAAGTCCACTTAGAAAATATCTCCGTGTACTTTCTTTGAAACATCATTGTACTTTCCTATGTTTATTCTTCTGTTATCCTTATTTAAATGGAACCAAAGCTGCCATGAAACCAAACAGTTCTCAAAGGGTTCACAGCATTCACCAATGACAGAATAAATAAGTGGACTATATTATTACTTCAATCGATGCTGTAGTTATCATTCCAACTGTAGTTTTACCATACCCAAGCTATAGTTTCTTTTAGAATATTCAAGAAAACAAAGTAAACAAATCGTATACCATATTTGCACACAGAATTAAGTTGAGATTCACTAACCTTTGTCCTGGTTTAAGTTTTTAACACTTTGCAAAGATGAATGTACATGACTAATTGGAAATGCAGATACCTTACAAAAGAGCCCTATCATATAATATGCAACTTGTAGACATATACCCTCGTTAACTCTTTTAAAACCTCTTAATCTCAGTTAAAATTAATCACATTTTCACAAAATAGTATGAATTGTAAGATTTATTTTCGTGATGTCTTCTGGAAGCCTACACCCTTCTGATTCTTGGTGAATGCAAAACAAGAAGCTGGAAGGCTCACCATAACCTTTTGGGTTGGCAGGATGATGGAGGCAGAAACACTTCTAACACTTCTTTCTCCATCAACCTGTTGCAGGCACCTCTCTGCTCTGGGCCCACTGTGCTGAGACAAGGGACACAGTGACAAAGCTTGCCTGGGGTGAGATGCTGGGATCTTTACTGGGATCGTTGAGCAGGGATATAGGAAGTTAGATGTTGCATTTAAGGCATGGGGATGACAAGGAACCCTACAAACTGTCCCAATCCCTTTTTATATATAGGAACTGCCTCAGGGATACATGTGGAAGCAGGCATCTGAGCGTTTACCTATTCCTCCCAAAATCAAACGACTTATTGGGAGTTGCTCTGTCATCTGTTGTCCAGACATTATTCCAAGATGTAGAGGAAGACTCTAAATCTTCTTCTAAATCTTCTGCTGCTGAGAAGAACAGTATTTCTAAAAGACAGGAGTTGCAGACTCACCAGGAGGTGGAAGTTTATATTCATGAGTTCCTTAATCTAGGCTGTTTCAGAAGAACAATTTTCTTTAGACAGATGCAACTGAAAAGTGCTACCAGGCCACTGACAGTTGAATCTTTTGGAATTTTTGCCATTTGGAAGACCGGCTATTATGTGTTCCACTGAATCTTTATTACATGTCTCAGAGATATCGTACATCTGGAACACTTTCCGTACAAGCTCTCAGAGACTTAATGCTTATTAGGGTTAACGACAAAACAATCTGGAAAGAAAAAGAGGTTTATGCTTCTACATGTGTTTGGTAAGTGTTGAGTTACAGAAAAGCACTCCAGAACTCAACTGTACTTCGGCATACCCAAATTCAAGAAACATTTCCTACCTTCACTTCAGAATACACTAAGTCACATTTTCTTTTATAAACACATTATTTTTTGTTTAAACAATTGCAATACATGGTTTCTGCAGCAAAAATTCCTTCTATAGAATATACTTTGAACCTACATATTTATTTTACCCAGAATGATTCCTCACTGTAAAATAGTTCAGTGGCTAGTTTCTTGTAACAATAACTAGAAGGGGGTTGGTTGGTCATGATTTTTTTCTTCTTTCTCTCTGTATGTACGTTAGAAGTCTATTGTGGTGAAAGTATTTTGGGTCTTTCACATTAAGTTTGTATTATTGCAAATACTAGTTATCCTTTTCAGTATTATATTTTTTCCTCCTTTTGCATATACAACATATGTTTAAAAGACACAATCTTAGTAAATGATACTAATTAGAGTGGAGTTTTCCCATTCAATGCATCTACATTTTCTCCTATATATATAATTTTGCATTTTTCTTCTCTTTCATGCAACTACCACTCAGAGTATTACTTCTGGAGTTACATTTTGTATATTTTTCACTTCGCTTCCTTCTGGGCGAAGAAAATGTTGATTTTCCAACAGCTGAGCACTTTCACTGCAAAACTGTTCTTTTCTATCTTGTGGACCTGGACTTTTGAATAGATGTTTCTTCTGGTGCATTCCCAGGGCAGCAGCTGTCTTGCAAATTTTGGGGCACTGAAAGCAAGCGTATCCTTTTCCATTATGCTCACGCACATGCCGTTGCTCATGGTTCCTTTTGGTAGAAAGGTACAGGAAACTCTGTAAGCAGAACTGACAGTGGTAGCGTTTTTCTCCAGTATGAATTCTTTCGTGTATTTTGAGTGTTTCATTTAAAGTGAATGCCTTGTTACAGTATTGGCAGACAAAGTCTTTGACACCTAAGTGAATACGTTCATGTTTCTGTAGATTTCCAGGAACTGAAAAACATTTCCCACAGGTTTTGCAGGTATAGGGCTTTTCCCCAGTGTGACACCTCATATGCATTTTTAAGGTGGATGGACTTTGAAATTGTTTTTGGCATAATTCACAGATGTAAGGCTTTGAAGTAGCAATATGCCAGTGCACATGGTCTTGAATTTCTGCGTTGGAAGATTTATCTCTTTCACAGAGCTCACAGTGAAGACTGGGCATTTCTGTGTTCTCTTCTTGACTGGCAGCTTTTTCTTCAGGAGCATTCCTGAGTGCATACTCCCGACTGCACATACTGTGACTTTCCATAACGGTGTTTCTGTTTCCATGCTTTTTCCTCCATTTGGTCTTTTTCATTTTTCTTAGCTGTTTAGATTTCTTTTTTGGTTTGTAATTGTAATATGGTCTCCAAGGCTTATCACTGGAGTCCTGATCACTTACATCATCGCACATTTCTGCCAGCTCCAGGCACTCTGAGCTATAGAGCCTAGATGGGCTTCTTTCCTTTATCTCCATTTCCGACTCCTCAATTAGGTTGTCCTGTTTGGACTCGTGTTTAGATTTGCGGCCCCTTTTACAGAACAGCTTAGATCCTAATATATGCCTTTTTACAATAGCCTCGTTACCAATTTTTACTGTTATTTGGCAAAGAGGAGCAACATTGCTGTCAGTAGATGTTCCAGGTAAGGCAGGCTTTGCGATGTAAGTTTCAGTTTTACTCGATTCTTGAACAGTATCAGTGGTTTTGCTGGATGAACCTCCAGACCCTTGGATGTGCTGCATATCCTCAGTTGCTTCTGCTCTGGTGCACTGCAGTGTTTTCTTTTTCTCCTTAATAGTTTTTGGTTTGGTAATGCATTTTCCATAATTATCTGACCCATATTTACTGTCATCACTTACAGATTGACTAGGTAGATTACTAGATGATTCTGTCTTACTGTTTTCTATGGAAGTGACTGTTTTACTGTGCATTATTACCGACGAAACTCTGCTACTGTGCAT